TGAAGTTGGAGAAGGAGGTCAGTCTGAAATAGAGCAGATGTAACGAGACCACACAGTCGCTAGAAGAAATCCCTTCCAGCTCCGTGCAGCTGGAGAGGCAGATCTTCCAGAAACACAAGAAAAAAACATCCTCCAACGGCTGAAAAATTATTTTATTTTTTTACAACTATGAACTGAGATGAACCGGATGCCTGGAATTCAGCACAACTCCTCTGAACATTAATAAGGGCCATCTCGTACCAAAACGACTTCAACATTAGAAGTGTTTGAAGGCCTTCTTTGGCAATAAGTTCCTCTGAGTGAATGTGTATAAAATATGAAGTCAGTTGATGTAATCCTGCAATAAATTCTTTCCCACAGAGACAGAAACAGATGGTAGAACATCACAATCCAGAAGGCGCAACAAGCCAGGTACTTTCCAGGTCATTCACTAATAAAGAGCACGCTAAAAGGAGCTCAAACTGTCGCCCCGGTTTGGACAATTTTAGAGCTTTTTAAATTCATTATTCATGACTGAGATTTGAACTTGATCAGAGCTTTTCAGCTGTTTGTTGTATTTCTGCATTATATATTCGTGGATTTAGCTAAAATGATCCTGGTTCTTGAAGGTTGGTTGGACAGTGGAAACACGTTTGATGATGCTGCCTCTTTGTTTATGACATATGACAAGAAATTTGAAATCGTTCTCAAAATGTGCAGACCAAACCATCAAGTCATAGCCAAGAGTTTCATTGAGAATGAAATACTCATATAATCGTAGCCCTTTGATTTTCCATTTATTAGGTCATTTATTATTGACCTTCAGATGAATGGTCCAATTTTCTCTGCGTGATCTCATCTGCTCTGAGATTTTAGTCCTCAGAACTTATGAAATTTCCTATTGACTCAAATTTCCACCAAACAGACGTATTAAATCCATCTCTAACAAAGCGAGACATCACATTAAATGCTCTAAATTCCACCATACCAGTCATCTGTTGGAATTTGACACCGAACCCCCCCCCCCGGTTCTCTCACAGACAACACCAGCAGCGAGTCCCACAGGTCAGTGGCCTTGGATTCCCCGACCTGTCAAGCTTTCTCTGCTCTATATGAGTCAATGAGAGACACATCATCACCATGAAGTCCGCCTCGCCCAACTTTCCGCCTCCAGCTGTTCACATGAGAAGAGAGGAAGTATCATCAGGGCTCTTTCTCTCTCTCTGCCCCGGGGGCCTTTCAGACACACTGAGAAGAATCCATCTCTAAGAGGAAGCAAGACGCTCTCTGGACAATAAACATATTCTGAAGAAGGACGGTTTGGACAAATGAACGGTCCATCAAACAGCAAATACAACACAGGAGAAATTTCCTCTAAAGCAAGAGTTTAAAGGCATTCAAAGTGACTCAGGGTCCTTTTAAAACAAGACATCCTAAAGTGCATCCTAACCAGCCAACACAGAAGCAACTCCTAAATTAAACAGGTTAAATCTTAACCTTATAATTTATGGTCTGGGAGAAATTCTAAAATCTTTCAAGCACAAAAAGACGTTTTTTTATTCAAAGGAAAATGTGGATACTCAGTAAGTCAATCCCTCTTATGATCCCTGTTCCCAACCATTTCAAAAAGCAGACCTCATACTGGTTGTGAGGTCCCTCAGTATCATCGTCTGTGCGTGAGTGTGACCCTCAGATTAACACGTCAGCGTGGAGAAAAAAAAAAAAAAAAAGCTCAAACGTCAATGTTGTGCCGGAGCAAACACAAACACACCAGTTCCTGCGGGCCGTGTTACCATCACACACACAGCGCTTTTCTCAAAAACAGATGTGGAGAGATGCATCACTGGCTGCAATCTCACATCTTGTCCGAGTCTTAAGTATCCATAGAGATCAAAACACAGAACACTTTGTCCAAGAGATCCACAGACCTTAAACTGGACTGCTGACTCATCGTGATGTTGGCAAGTGCAGAAGAACTTTTCCCGTGTTGTGTTTATGTCCCATGGCTTGTGTTTAACACGCAGAGAAGCCTGGGACATGTGAGATAACTGCAGGACTGAGTTCCTGTCTTGATTTTTACATGGGAAGCAGAGAGTGTAATGCTCAAACTTCATAAAGAAAAAGCCTGGATTTTTCTTGCACTCTGTGCCTGTCGCTTTCCTCCCAGTCATCCACCTCCAGGGTTGTTGCATAACACCACCCAGCGCTGCTTTTAGCCCCCACAAAGGAGGCATCTGAACGCTCTGTGAAAAACACTGTTAGAGGCCTCGCTGGCTGCAAGAACATGCATTTACTGTGCCTCTTTCAGCGTCTTCTCCGGTCACTTCAACACCCCCGCGAGACTCGACACAAAGTGGAGGAAAGCTTGCACTGACTGACCGTGAACCTCCCTCTGCAAGGATCTGCAACTTTTCCTAGAACTGATCAATCTTTTTAGTCATTTTTCAAGCAGATATATCAAACAGTTTCCTAGTCCATCTTCTTAAATTAAAGGATATGCAGCTTCTTTTGTAAATAGGATAGTATTATAGATAGATAATACTGCATCTCACTGCATCTTAATCTGTATATTATTAGTATAGCATGCTCACTGCACCTTAATCTGTATATTATAATCCTAAGAACACACTTATTTTGTAACATTACTTATTTATAGCATTTATTTATATTTATTGCATCCCATTAATCCAGCCATCCAGATATATCTCATAATTCACTTTTTTTGTCTACATCTGTAAATTTTGCAATTACTGTACATAGCACAGAATTACTGTACATAGCACAGACTTTTGCACTTTCTGCTTATTTGCACTTCTGGTGAGATGCCAAACCTCATTTCGTTACTCTATACTTGTATATGTGTAATGACAATAAAGTTGAATCTCATCTCATCTCATCTCAGATAGAGGCAGCAGTAGCTCAGTCTGTAGGGACTTGGGTTGGGAATCGGAGGGTCGCCGATTCAAGTCCCAGCATGGACCAAGTTAGGATATTGGTCTGGTAGCTGGAGAGGTGCCTGAGCACTGCCGAGGTGCAAGGCATCAAACCCCAAAAGCAGCCCCCTCACTCTGAGACCTCTCCCATTAATGCATGTCCATAGGATCCTGTTTGTGCATGTTTGTGTAGCATATTCATTAAACAGAGTGTAAAACTGAATTTCCCCTCGCGGGATTAATAAAGGATAAATTATTATTAATGCCTCTGGTTTTTTGAGAGCGAGAAAGACAAAAGAGGCAATTCAACAAAGTCTTTTGAACATGCAGTTCAAAGAAGTCCAATTATTGTGACAGGGCGACAAAAATTGGACTATTAAAATACATGTTAGCAACTGAATGGAATGTACTCCTGCTCCTGTATACACCTCGATTTTGGCCCAAACTGTATCTGAGCCAGGCTTTGATCCGGAAGATGAAAAGCATAAATTCAAAGCATAGCAGACAGTCGCATTGTACAGAAATATCTGTTCAGTATATGACGAGGAGGATGAGGATGAGGAGGAGGAGGCATGTTTTCATTCCACATTCACAGCTCCAGTCCGTTAAAAAAAAAATCACTTTATCAAACTGTTCAAAGCAACTATCACAGCGAGGCCTCTCAGAGCTCTAAATAATGAGCCGGGTCACTCTTTGGCAATGCAGTCCGTCTTTCTGTGGCCTCGCTGTTAAGCACATGAGACAAGGAAGGGAGCTGGCTAGGTGAAAAAACTGTTAAGTCAGCGCTTCCTGACATGTCTCCTGTCTCCAGATGTCTGTCATTAAGGTGCTGCTGCCAAGTCGGGGGAAGTCTTTGATTTGGGAACAGAGATCTTTATCTCCAGCAGGAGAAAGCAAAAACAAGTTCAGTGACAGAAAGCGAGTTTGAAAGTTGCAACAAAGGATTACTGTCAGTGCCGATAAACCGGTGAGTTATTCTCCCAATTAAAGAAATCTTTCAACCGTGCAATTTGAGAAAATGAGGAAAAGCTTTCTTTTCTAAAAATAACTCCATTAACTTCTCACATTACTAAAAATACGAAGTGATCATTTTTTTGTGTGCACTGCAAGTCAGAGGCGTTGCAGCTCAAGCATATTTCCTTTATTACTGAAAAAACATAAAACTACCCCCTTATCAAACCTTTAATACGGTCCTATCACAGCTGTTTTGTGCTTTTTATTTCCAGGGGAGTTCTAAAGTATCTGCATGGCAAATTACAGAAAATGTCATTCACAGTTAATGTCCTAGAAACTCAGCTGATCTCTCCTCAAACTAACATGCTGAATGCATGATTTGTAATGGGAGTTTCTGCAGGTTTACTTGAGTAAAGGAATCTCCTGACGTGTGTATTTTTAACTCCACCTCACAGCCTGGGAGGCTCTGGACTCTTTTGGGAGCAGAGGACCATGGGCAGGTTCAGATGTGGGTGTAGAAAAATTCCTGCCTTATTTATGTAACCTTTGGAGCACCACGGTCAAGGAGGGGGGGGGGCGGCTTTGGTGCAGGCTGTGTGGGGAAGCCTTCAGTTTCCTCTGATCCAACAATTACTGCCACTATTCAAACTGCAGAGCACACACACTGATGTTGACGGACGGTAATGAATAAAGTCAGGCGTTTTATTACAGTGATCTCCTCAGCCTCCGTTAACTATTTGAGTGTGTGCTGATAAATTCACAAAGGGAGGGAGGGGGGGGGGGATGCATGCAAGGAAATGTCTGATAATCTGATCGCATATGATTTAGATCCAGCTCAGCCCATGTGACAGCTCATATGGCCGCATTGCTCATCACCACGCTCAGACTTCGAGTGTCTGTTAGGATGACTCAAAAATCTGACTGCCACAAACACAACTGAGGTTTAAGCAAAAACGTGACAAACCATTCAGTCCCAGAATGCATCGTACAAAGCGGACACATGGAGAAGTCGTGTATGCATTCAGTGCAAAGAAGTAATAAAAGGATATAACCCTGAACATTGGAGAAATTGTGCATGAGAAATGTGGCGATCAACAGTTCACTGAGCAGGATAGAGTTTCATGCTCTTCTTACCTAAAGCGGGGGGAATCCTTAATACATTCTTCAAAATCCACCGTCATCTTGGGCTGGAGTCAAGTTATCAACGAGTTTAAAATACGGACTTCATGTCCCGGTTTTGAGTTTGTTTTTTGTTTTTTTTAAAGCGCAGATGTAACGTTTAAGTATCCGATTCAGCGTTTCCTCCGTCTGTCTCTCCTGCTCCTCCTGCAGCGGCTCATTCACTCCCTCAGTCCCGCTCTGAAGCTCCGGGAGCTGCTTCACTCAGTACAGGACCGTGTGCTGCGTTCAGGGTCTCCTGCTTAGCTCGGATTTATCAGTAGCCCACTCCGACGCTCCGACTTGTTTTCTTTATAAGCTTCATTTAGTGGGAAATTAGGGAAAGAGTCACATGAAGTGATACATGATAAGTACGAAACGGGAAAAATATTCTGTCTCTATGCTGCTTATTCCACAACATGTTATGGGAACAATGTAAACTATTTTAATGTTTCTTTTTTCTTAGTCATGATGCTTTTGATGTCATGTGTGAACCACTGTGACTTGACTTCACTAAACAGATTTTACTGCCCTATATTGGTTTTGTCTGAAGATGAAATATTAGACATCACCACCTCTTTGGTTTGAACCATAGACTGTATAAACATGGGCATAGTCTCAATGACATCACCCAATGGTTTCTGAAGAGGACTTTGAAGCCAGTCGATGGCAGTCGCCATATTGGAAATGCTGTCTCAAACTAACTTTTGGTCAACCTAGTATCGGCCCTTTGTGAATGTGGTGTGATGGTGACTTTCTGGTCTCTTGGAGCCAGCCTCAAGCAGACACTTGACAAACTGCAATTTTTTAGCACTTCCGCATTGGCTTTATAATTTTAACACCTGAGGTTGGCGCTTGGTTAAGACACAACTCACCACATAGCTGAAGTTGAAAAGTAGCCAGCTGGCTTTCACTGACACAAATTGATTAATGGGGGTGACACTTACAATAAATAATTTGAATAAAGCTAATAAACTTAGGATTGAAATGAAAGGCACATTGTAGATGTATTGAACATGATGCACTTTGCCATTTAAAATTAAAGTTGTTAATGTGTGTAAGTCAGAAAATATGACACTGCATACTGTATAATAGGAGGCACATTATTCCATCACCTTTCAACATTAATGTTTCTTTATTTAACGGCCACTAAAAGAAGTAGAACAAAAGAAAAAAGAACAATGCAATACAGGAATACTCTTTTTTAAAAGTCAGAGTGCTCAAAGTCTTGGTTGTATTTGACTGCAGATGATGAAACAAATAAAAGTGATATAACAGGTCAAATATATCTGCATTAAAGGCAGATGTATAAAGCATCATAAAATAAGTTACTGCAGTGAAGTAAACATATCTCAAGACTATACTTAAGTACACTTTTTCCAGAATTAGGGTCGTTTTGCAAACAACTTGTAACACTAGTGATAAGCCTGACAACCCTTGAACGCAACACGAGCTCAGCCCTCTGCATGAGAATGAGTAAGACGCTGACGTCACGATTCAGCTCATTTGAATGAATACAACCTGATTTTTCCCAGCAGTAATCTCAGATGCTGTCTGTGGAAATGAATTGATCATTTTAATTAATTAAATTTGTGGAAAAACTGGAAAAATATATGAAGGACCGAAAGAAGTTTAAAGTTGGGACAGTCAAAAGTAAACTCAGGCTGATTCTCTTTAACTGCTTTTTTATATTGCTATGGAGACAAAATAATAGAAAAAATAAAATTAATTCTAAATATAATTCAGTGCAATTCAGTACAAATAATCAAAGTACTTTATACCCTGTGGTGTGTTAACTCTAGCAATAAATAAACAAACACCAACGATGGATCAGTCCCTTCTCCCCATGTTATACTAAGATTCTCTCACCTCTTCATCTTTTTCACACCTCTCACCTAAAGTGTGATATCTATTTATCTATTTATCCATATCATATCAGCATGTGTTACTGCTTTGCAAGCTGTGCAATCTATTTAATATGAACAACATGACTCAGTGGAACTAATTGCTTAATTCTAAAACACTTCAAAGAAACTCTTCTGCATTTAACACATCGTAGGGTTGCTGCCATATCTGTCTACTTTCCCATTCAGATGTTAAATCAAGTGCATCCATTTCCCCAGCCGGGCTATTATTAATTCACAGGAAATGGGAAAAGCTTGGCGAAGGAGCCCCTGCTTGGGATTTCACTGCAGGTTTTCATAGAGCGCCATTGTTCCCCGCTTTTAAAAGGCTGCGACTCAGGCCATGAATGGAGATGATCTCATCGTCTCTCGGGAGGAGGTGTCTTGACTAAATACCACAACGAGTCACTGACATAACTGAATATTAGAAGAGCCATACAGACATTATGGGCTTATTATGGTTGATAACAGCTGGTTGACCTGAAGCACTTTGGTACAGACTGAAATATTTAATTATCTATCGGATGGATTGGCAGGTAAAGACATGCTTTCATAGAAGTTTTTGACAGGAAACAACGGACTGCAAACAAGGTTAATGATTAAGTCTTACTTTTAGGAACATTTAATCCATGGAGATTTATTTGTAAGACTTCCTTTAAGCAAAGGAAATGTTACTTTAGCATAAAGCTACATCAACAAACAAAATGTACATGTATTCCTTTAGAATATCTGCTTGTTTTAGCTCCTTTGAAAGTCAAAAATCTATTCAACAGCAACCTGTAAAATATTGAAACACTCCTGAAAGCAGGTGCCCAACCAATACAGTAGCTCTGTTTCTAATTCCCCGCTCTACCACTAACTAAAAAAAAACACATTTTCCGACTTTTTACTCCCCTCACAATCCATACTCTCTTAGCTTCATCCTCAGCTCTTTTACTAATCTGAGATCAAAGCACCTACAGCTTCTCTCTCTGAAGCTGTCGAGTCAGCATTTTGCCGTTCTAAAAGCGCACACGGCTGGAGAAACTTAAGAGGAACTTGGTAGCATGCAAATAATCTACACTGTCCTGAATTTTATAACAGTAGCAGCACATGGTTATATGTAGACATCTATGTTTCCCTTTAGCATGAATTGTAATACACTGGTGATCCCTTTAAAGCAAAGTAGGCAACTTTGGAATAAAACAGCAGAGTAAGCTCGTTTTTTAAAGTATCCAACTGAACAAAAATCGCAGTCCTTTCCTTCAGGCTTTTACTCCCAAAGAGTGTCAGGGAGTTACGAGTGCTGAGCATTGTTGTCATCACTATCCATCTCCAGCTGATGTTCTCTACCATTAGTGTGCAACTATACGCTGCTAGCTTGAGCTTGATGTCTGTCTTATCTTGTAGAAGACTCTGGTCATGCCTCATGAGTGCACTGGCAGATTGCATACAGGTAGGTGTGTAGGTAGGAAGACAGGCAAGAGGGACATCCCATCATTCAAGTGAGCAGAAAGAAATTATTGGATTGGATTTGTAAAAAAAAAAACAAAGCCTCTGAAATAAAATCTACCAGAGCTTGAACTTTCTTTTTTCCATTGTCAGTTCAAAATGTTTTACCTACTTTACCTGACATACGTGCAAAACTGCAGAAAATGTCCAGTCTTTTTGGGATGGGCTGCATGTCTGAGTGCAAACGACTACATTTTTCATTTAGACTTCACCCAAAAATGTTCATCCCAAAGTTTCTGAAGAAATCAGCGTGGACAGTGTGACTGCAGCAGGACATTTTCAGGAAAATTTGTCATATTTTTAACAAAATCTTGGCGAGAGTGAAAGACAGTGAAAGAGAGATAGAATACTGTCTGAAATTGTGCAAATCAGGCAGGAAAATGCCTGCAACTTTCGGTCATTAAAAACCAGAAATAACCCAATTTCAGGTGCCTTGGACTTCTATTTTTCTTGCACAGACATCAAAACTGGAATCAATATTGTGTGAGTTTTACTATAATCATACCAAAGTTTAAAATGCTGGTATTTAAACAACCCCACTTCCATTATATGCCCTACAGAAAATTATAATGAATGCAAATGTCCTAAAACAAAATCTTAAAAGTGGTTTCTACATTTCTGCAATAAACAAAACATGTAAATCCCAAATTATGGAACTATCCCTTTTTTTAAGATTTTGGATTACAGGTGATAAATGAGGAATAAGTCATATCATGAATGGATTTGGATGCTTGATTGCAGAATGATTTCTAACTGACACAGCTATCATATAATTACTAATGGTCTGTTCGTGACCCACCCCCCTGTACCCTCAGTGTCCAGTGTGGCTTCTTAAGGAGCAGGAGTGAGGGTTTTTTTTTCTGCCTTTGTGCAGAAAAAATGAGCGGAAGGGAGCTGTCGACTCCCATTTTGCTGCCATCAGAAGTCCTCCTCATGGCAGACACAAGCGCTGCTGCAGTGTGGAATCACTGGGAGAGATGTGTGGGTCTCTGGGAGGGTGACCTACTTTTGCTCCCCCCACCCCCCATTTGGTCTGCTAAGAGAGCTGCGAGTTGTGCTGCTCAGCTCACAGCTTGTAATGTTATCCCTTCTGACTGCAGGTGCAAGGCTTTACAAGACACTACCAATGAGGCATGTACAGATGCTGCATGAATGTTCTGTATTATGCATGCATATGTCCTCTCAGCACTGACTTACTTTAAATGTATTCCCATGGCTATTTTAAATTAATTCTAATCTTACCACAGGACTGCTGGGCTTACACCAGTAGTGGCAATGTGTGTGTACATAGGTGGACAGATAGGCTTTTGACTGAGAAGAAAGAAAGAAGACATTCAGACTGAAAATGTAAAGGCAACTCTTTGTGATGTTTATCCTTCTATGCTGTGAGTTAAATAAGAATATAATAAATATCATTACATATATCTACCATTAACCTATAATGACCCCTGCAAAAGGTTGGCAAGCAAAATGAGAAGTCACAAGAAGATGAACAGGATAGGAAAGTTGAAAGGAAAACTTTGATTACTCAAGCCGCAACCTCGGGTGTTGAAAAATTAAGCCAATGTGGAAGTGCAAAAAACTGCAGTTCACCTATTGTCCACTGGAGGTTGGCTGCAAAAGCCCTGGAAGTCACAAACACACAAATTCAAAAGTGCCCGACAATATCACAACATGGTCTGAATAGCTAATTTCTTTATGAGCACACTCCGAACAGAGGTGAATTTTCTTTTCGCACATTTTGATTATATTAAGAGTTATTCATTAAAAGGGGCATGGCTGATTTGACTGACAGGTGGGTTTGTTGTAGTTGTTTGTCTCAGCTCCAGCTCTTTGAATGTTACTAGGTTGTCCAAAAGTTGGTTTGACCCTTCTGTAGTTTTTGCTGTTTTTTCTTGATCACTGTACTCTAAAAGGCTTCAAATAAAACAAGGTCTTTCATTCAACTTGTCATGTGTATACTTCCACAAATGGTGACAAGTATGGTTCTCATGTCTTCACTTTTTGATGCCAATCAAAAACATTGGAAACCACTCAACTAAAAGACTCTCCATGATGTGATTAGAATACTTATTTGAATAAACAATGTTATCATGCTGTACACTGATTGACATGAAAAAAGTCCTTGACACATGACCTATCTGAGGTTTGAAACCCCCAACTCCAGAAGCTGTTTGCAGTCATGCTAACATGAGTGCTGATTTATTTAGCAGCCCTGGCAATGCACATTAGTCTGTATAGCTAATGTGTCAGCTTAAGTGCCTCGCTGCCTCTGCAGCTAGAAATGTTGCTCCTGGGGTCGGTACTCTTTCAAGAATCAGTTCCATCTGCTTCACTGCTGCTGCAAAAAAAACTTCTGCATTAATGTAGTTTCAGGCTAAAGACGTTCTTCAGGGAATAAATCAATAGTTAAACTTTTAGGGAGGTATTTAATGTAAGGCGAGAAGAGGTGAGAAGATTGACACCATTCTCACACTCTAAATATGAAGTGGAGCCATTAAACCAAATAAAATCACAGTTTGAATCCCAATCTGTGATGCAATGGTTGTGCAAAGCGGAAACGTTTCCTAGGAAATCTCTGATCAACAAAGCTCGATGGCCAGCAAATATGACAAAGAGTTTTCCTCACAGTGTAACCTTGTTTCCGTGTCTGTATTTGTGAATGGAACGTTGTTAAGAGTAACTAATTAGCACCTTATCATCACTTTGCAATTCTATCTTTAAGAACATGGTGCACCATAGTAAACAGACCCTCTGTGGAGCAGTGAGTCATTAAATGTTATGACCTTGGCTCTGTTGTGTGTTAATCGTATAAGTGTAAGCCTAATTGCTGAAGGAGTCACAGGCTTTAAGGCCCAAAGCCCCTCTGTGTTGGCCCAGCTCCATATCAACTGCTGCATGTTGTTCCTGTCAATGATTCCTGTGAGGAGACAGTGACAGGATCTCATAAAGAGGGTGAGTTCTGGGTCAAAGCTGGAACAAAAACAAACAAAAGTACTTTTCAGGAAGCCTGTTCCACTGTGTCAGCTTGACTAGTATGAAATATTTAGATGCCCAAAAGCAATCCTCTCCGCCAGGTGTCAGGATGTTAGAGTTCAATGGATGTTTAAACAAAGGGTCATGTACGGTCACAGCGTTGACAGCAGGAAGTCAAAATGGAGAAATCATTCCAGCAGAAAAGCAGCAAATCTCTACAGAATAATATTTTATCTGGAAACAGCTGTAGCAATAAAAGAACAATGTAGTCAGTTGAACCAGATTTAGGCTTTCTAGTCATAAAAAGTCCTTCAAGAAATAGTTGGCAACATATACTTTGGTTCTGTTTGATGTCTTAGATAAGTTCAATACCAGCAAATGTCTGTTTTTGTTATGATGCTAAAGCAAGGAGACACTTGTTGAGCTAGGAATGAGGACTGGATGTAGAAGGGAAACAGCTAGCATGGGTAATTTTAAAGAACATAAATCATCCATACGCCGACCCAAACCATACATTATTTTATTAGCGCAATTCAAGTTGTATCCCCAAGATATTACAAGCAAAAAATAAATCTTGGATTACATATAATTTCAGGAAATTCAAGGATATATCATGATATATGCCTCTGGGAACAGACATTTCTCCGTAATTCCGATGTATCCAGCGGTTAGTGTTAACAACTTCCCAGCAAGACTTCCTTTTCTGTGCAGTGTTTATGTCTGCAACATAAACGCTGTCATTTCTTGGTCCATAGCATCCTGGAGTAGAACCTGTTCATCTGTTGAGTCCCAATTCAACAGTAGAATAAGTTAGACAGCTTAACTCCAACTCACTTTAGCATTTTGGGCCCTAAAAAGAAACTAATAAAAAAATTTTTACCAGAATTTAAAGATAAAAAGTACAGGTCTGAGAAAAGATCCCTGAGGAACCCCAAAAGCAAAACAGCCTGAGACGTTTCACTCACAACCACAAAAGTGAAAGTCAACAAACATGTCAAAGGAAATGTCATATCATAAGAACTTGTTGGGACTTACTATAAGTATGATAAATCCACCATGTACAAAAACATAAATTAAAACGTAAAAATGTATTGTTTTTGTTGAGATATTAGCCAAGGCTTAAGAATGAAATGAAAAAATCATACCTTAATATGTGAAACTACAAAATGAGTATTGAGGCATTGTTAACTGCCATAAGTAAATTACACAATTAAAATTCATTTCATTAGGGGCACGCTGGTGGCGCAATGGTTAGGGCGCGCGTCCCATGTATTGAGGCTCTCGTCTCGTCATTCCCCACTCTCTCTCTCCCTGGTTTCCGACTCTATCCACTGTCCTATTTGTGCATTAAAGGCACAAAAAGCCCAAAAATAAATCTTTAAAAAACAAAAAAAATTCATTTCATTAAATAAATTAAATCTGCTCTTTGAAAACTGTGCCAACAATGAAGATTGTAGACAGTAGGGAATATTAACAATGCAAGTAACTCTTCTCCAGTGATCCTCAGACAATAGGGTAAAAAAACAAACAAGAGACTATGAGTGCTTTCTTGTGTAAACTCATTTTCACACTCATTACAGGGTCTCTACTCGTACATTTTGTTCATTTCAACAGTTCCGCTCGGCAAACATGTCTGGCCAATGAAGGTGAACATTTGTTTTTCTGAGCACGTTGTTTTTTGGGGAAAGTAGGCCAAGATGAGCTGCAGGCTTGGTAAGTGCCCGCCCACTGAATCACAATACACACAATAGGTTTAATATCAGCTCTAATACCATAACTGTACTGTCACTGATCAAAGTAGTATGATGTCTGTTGTGTGACTAATGATTCGTTTGCCTTTCGAACTTGTATCTCTCACAAACGAGTCATAATTCTGAGACGTCTTGTACTACACTTGTGATGCTTTTTGGACTTCAAAGGATGCATTTAATATCAGAGGACCAGAAACAACAGATCTGAGAGTGTCTGAATGAGGCAGCATCCTCCCGGGTACGGCCGGACGAGATCCTGAGAAATGAATGAGGCTGGTGTTGCTAGGCGATGGGGCTCAGTGCTGCTGAAAGAGGCGGGATGAAGAAAATCCTTCAGACGAGCTAACTCCCCATTGAAGTCTGAGTCTTTGATGCTCAGACACCCCAGTCGACTCACATACTTCTGTTGGCCGCAGTCCACCAGCCGTCTATGTAGCTGCACTAAAGTCGCTATGAACACTGATCTTACAAGATTCTTAAGTTTAAAACAAAATAAACATAATTTTTTGTGCCAGATTCAAATAAGCTTTATTGGCATGACTTACCAGAAACTTTTACAGCTTTCTAAATGATATTACAAACATTAACAGAGGGGGAATTACTCTATAAGAACATTTTCTGTTCACATTCCCAGCCAAGCTAGCAGCTTTACAGATGACAGTAATGGTGTGTTGGTCCACTCGTTTGGTCTGTACTGAAAAATCTCATTAAGGATTTCATGTGTGGATTCATTAAGCTTTGTACAGACATTCATAGTCCCAAGAGGACGAATCCTACTGAATGTGGTGAACTTCTAGCTTGTTTTCTAGCAGTGCCTATAAACACAGCATACTGGTTTATGTTTACAGCCAAAGTAGTGTGGTCATCTGGCATTTCAATGTGCTTTGTTTGTATACAGCAAAGAGGCGGACAGCATTGGCAGTACTGCACCCTGGAAGCCATCAGTATATACACTTTAAATCATGCCCAAATAAAAACACTTTAAAATACCAAACATATTTTTATCTAAAATTATAATTTTCATTTTGGACAATTTTATGATTTGAGTCTTCAGAAGGTACAAATGAGCAGTGAGCTGAGTTGTCTCGTACAAAAAGGATGGGGAAGTCAAACAGTATAAAGAGACGGACTTCCATTCTTAGTTTTAGCCTCTTTGCTGAACGTAAACTCTGTCAAATAAATAAGACAGCATCAGCACACAGGTTCTGTTGAGTTTCATACCACAGGATGAAACCCAATACCCGACCGCTAACACTATGCTGCCACCATGTGGTCATTTCCGTCAAGTGCACCTGAATCTACCAGACAGCAATGAATAGAAACATCCTTTCACTTTCCACTCTTCTTGGTGTCAGAAGCTCAAGTTGTCATTTCCTTCTTCTTCTTCTTGTTTTTAATTCTGTGGGACAACACAAGACAGTTGTGTTAAATGTCAAACTATCTACAGATTTGAAGACATGGGGATGTGAAAAAACAAAGGATAACTTACTGACTGAGGAATTGTTGGTGTGACTGTGAGGAACAGGAAATACCTCGTCTGTTTGGTCTGCAGACTTCAGAGCCCGTAACAGATATTTAGGTACATGCTGAAAATCAAAAGAAAAAAAAAAAAGTCCATGATGTGGCTGGTTGAGTCTCGGTTTTCAACCATTTCACATGAATGAGGCTTTTATGATCTTTTAACTGCTCTTTTGTAACATAACATTGCAACGAGTAAGGTCTTTAACCTGCTGTCTAGTGAAGTGTCTTGAGATAACACTTGTCATGAATCTGTGCTATACAGATGAAGATGGATCGATGTAATACTAAATCATCAAAAATCATCAACTTAAGGACCAATTCTATTATTGCACTTTTCTGCTGTTCACTGTGCCTTCATTTTAGGTGTTAAGAGTGTTCACCAGTGCTGAGAAGGAGATGCGGTGTAATGGATTGCACTCACCTGTATTTCTGTTTGGTTTTCATGCGGAGAGTGGTGAAGCCTTTCAAGTGAAATTGTTCTTTTGACTGCAGTAAAAACTCACCCACTTGAACTTTTGACTGAAAATCGGTGTAATTCAATGTGTTATCGAGGAAGAATAAATGGTCAAATTCAAAACTTCAGGTGTAACCTTTTGAATTTCTCTAAATGCTTGAGTGATTTTCATCCTGGGTTACGCTGCCCATTCATCATTGGACAGCCTCCACGGATCGTAAACTCAATAACATTAACTGCCTGTAAGCACCTTATCTTATCCCTATTCTTAAATGCTGCACTATTCATCTTTAAAAGGTACGGACCTTTGGTATTCGGTGTGTACATAATAATTTGTATTGTTGTTAATTGTGTTTTCAATATGTTTATGTTTTCTTTCTATAAAACACTTCACTCAAAGCATCAGGAAAGGAGATTCAACCACACGTTTTATTCTGCAGTCTCATCTTAGTTAAGGATCAGATCATTTTGACATTAAAAGGATTTTAGAAATGCACGGGTCCATCATGCCCGGAAGAGATATCTAAACTCCTGATTCAAAATCCTGATCGTATTTCAGTTCTCTCATTTCCTAAATATAAATCTATCCATTTCACTGCGATAAATCCATTGGTTTGACTTTTATGTAATCATCAAAGCATCACAGACACAAATGAACAAACCACTTAATAAGAAAGTCATTATGAACGATCTCTAAAACAGCACTTAGAGGCGGCTGTCATCTGAACGCCTCTCCAGAGAGTGCCTGACTAACGGAGGAGTGTGATTCAAGTGTTTATTCAATAGAGTATAAACAAAATAGAAGCACACACAGATGTCCTTGAGTAAATAACTAAGTGCTGTCTCCACTTGAGGCATTCACTGATGCCTTTACACATGAAGAAAAGTATGAATTACTATGAGCCACCCAAAGCTGATACTCCACCAGCTGAAAAAAAAAAGCACTCAAGAGCTCAGAAAAAGAAAATGTGAGCCTCTAAAAGCAGGAAACCAAGGCTACCTGGCTTCAAGGGCAGAAGGTAAATCTGACTGTTTCTTTAACCATTTGCTTGTCTGTGAATTGTGTGCATCATATGTTGCTATGTTGTTTCTTTGCTGCTGTTAACAAAGAAAATGCCCCACTTGTGGGATTGATAAAGCTTTATCTTATCTAGAAATCACAATAAGCCAATGTCTGCACAAGAAGAAGCAGCAGCAGCAAGAACCCACTCAGATGAAGCTAAAGTGGGCCAAGTTACTGTTGTTGTTTCATGCTGTAACCACAAACACCAGCAGCAGCATCTGTATGTCTGCTGAGAGTGAAGTGTGGTAACATGCTACAGTGATGACTGTACAGGGGTTTCTTGAAGACTCATCCTGTCCCCTGTTTACCTTAAAAAGTTAACGGCATACTAAATGACAAACAGGCACGGGGAAAGAAAATGGCAGAAATCTAATTTTTATGCATCACCTGTTTGTGTTTTAAACATGTTTTAGATAAAATATAGATGGCCATCATACTTCCAATACTAACCATTTTTCAAATGAGTGACACTTTTGTTGTGTTGCATTGTTTGTCTTCTAAATAAATATCACAAATTGCATTTTGTTGTGTTTTATGAATTTTATGTTAACTGGTGGCATTTCAGGATGCCTTACGAGTCACTAATCCTTTGATGTTAAATATCAAGGAGTCAAATATCCTCTGTGATTTTATTAGCTAGACTTTTGAGGGATAAAGGGTCAATTAAAAGAATAACCCGTATTTTTGAAAAGATGAGAAACTCTAGAATAACTTTTCAACATTTGTAAGTGTTTATGACTTTGTGCTTTTTTTAAAGAGCATCTGTTCCATATTGTTAGCACAGAGGGAAACTTACAGTGAGGGAATGTAATGATAACATATGACAGTGAAAAGAAGAGTCAGTGTTTCGCTGGTAATTTAAAATACTAATAAAGTAGTCAGATACTATTCTCCTGACAATACTGTTGAAATGCTGAGAGGATTTGACTGTATTTGTAAAGCTTTAATTGTTATAATGTAATTTATGTACAAACTGTGTTAATCCAAACTTTTCACTTAATGCTGTTTGATAATTAAACAGCAGTAAATCTCAAAGTGTAATGTTGAACTGACCGAGCAGGTTTGGGGACGTGGGTAAGGAGGATCGACACGGGCTCTGCTGTGGACCCTCTCGCTGCGTCGTCGTTCAATGGAGCCTCCGGGACGATTCATAGTGGACGGCCGAAGACGACTGCTGGTGGATGGAGTTTGATCTGCTTCAGCCAGGAGGTCTGTCAGTTCTCCATCACTGATCTCCTCCCCCGACATGGAGCCGTCTGTTTAATCGACAGTTTTACAACTACATGATATACTATTCTTCTGTTACAGAGCTTTATTGATCTAGACAAGCACAAAGTAACACATATGATTCTGGTGTAGAGCTGTACACATATCAGACTTATTGACTTGTTGCTATTCAAAGAACTTCACACCTGTGTCCCTTCACCTTGTCATTTTCTTTCTTATGGCAGTTTTGTTGGATTTTTACTTTCTCTATTTATCTGTAATTATTTATTTCATATTGCCTCAAAAAGCCAATTTTTCTCACTGTGAATCATTAATTGGACTCAGTATGCACATGCATCTGTTTGGTACTTCAGAAAATATTTTTTTTAATACTGTTTGTGCGCAAAATGATAACACAGGTAAGTTAAAAAACAGGGCAATTTGGTGACCTTTACTTGGTACTTTTTACCTGTTTGCTGAGGGCAAACTGCACACTCGGGACAAATCCAGTCACCTTCAGGGCCCGTAGTTAGTGGTGGTGTCATGCAGTCCATATGATACCTGGAATAACAAACATAACTCAAGCTCTACATTTAAGTACCTTTAACCTGTATTTTACACATCTCCATTTAGAGATTGGGTTTCAGGTACACAAAACATCACTCAAAAAATAGTCTGTCGGTCATGCACACCAATGTACTAACAAATAAGGGGTAGGGTGGCTAATTCTATGCAGCATTCACTTTTTGTTATATTCATTAAAGCAGTCTTTACACCCCGAAAGAAACCAACAAATCATGTGCTCTGGAAAAGGATCAAAGGGGAGCTGTCATCTCAAGCTGCTGTAATAATGTAAAAACTCCAACCTATCACTGCTGTGATGTTCAGGTGGAAAGTACCAGTAAATTCCTCCCTGTGTGTAATCGGCCCCTTGCCCTTCACCAGCCTGTACTAAAAGTGCTTCACCACTGCCGGAGGTGTTCCACATCTACTGGAAGATGGCAGAGAACCCTTAGCTCAAATGTCCACTGCCCCAGTTACTTGTTACCGCCCTGCTAAAGGGCTGGGCAAGTAAAGACAGAAGAGAGGCTGCGGCAAGAACGAGTTTAGATAAAGCAAGAGAACAGACGAGTAAATATCTAAAACCGTTTTAGCAATGGCGACAATTAAGAGAGATGAAGGGCCAAAAAAAGTTACACCATGGTTGCTGTCTTTCTGTTGCCATGTTTGTTTTTTATAATCAGTATGATAATGTTGGGACTTTTCCTACTGCAGAATGAACAACAGGTAAAGGAGTTGAATAACGTTCAAAGCGATGTGTTGAGGTCCTTTCTGAGCCCTGAGGAGATGTTGCTTTACATTCTTGCTGGCTTTTCAGAATTACCAACCCTACCTATAAAGCATCTGATGGTTGAATCACGACAAAATCTGCTGCAACAAAACCACCAAATGGAACTGTGCCATTAAAGGTGCTTATGTGGAAAATACCCTGAATCACAGTGCGTGCACACCAACAGCCGGTGCCTGCGGTCGCTTCGTCCACATCTCTCGCAAATTACAGCACTGCTCCCCTCCTCTTCTTCATCGTCAACATTGTCCCGTGTCCTCACTTCGATCTAAAGCAGAACAACCCATAACACTGTCAATATATATTTATACAAAAAAAATGCAATAGTGTTGCTTTGGTACAATGCAATATATTTGACCTTCTTTAGAATGTCCCCTCCAGGACACCGTCTCTGGTGGATGAAAGCAAAACTGATCCGATCCACAGGGCAAGTGTTGGCAGTCTAAGATTGAGAACACAAGCAAACATGTTTCTAAGATATCATTGCATAGTTTTTATTCTTATTCAGTGAATATTAATGATTAATCCATTCATTATTGTGTCTTTAAACTATTTTCTAGAGTCAAAGGTGATGTATGTAAAGAACTTAAGTCTGAGCAAAAAAAAAAAAAATTCTGCTTGATTAACACAAATGATGATCAGTCTACAAAATTGCATACCTACAGACAGAAACCCTGAAGTCCCAACAAGTCAGAAACTTTTGGGTACTTCAGGACTATACGTACCCTAATATAAATTGACAAATAATTAAAATATTGAGCATTCATCTGAAATGATTTATAATATCCTCAACTATAGTCATTTCATCTACAACAGTCTTCAGAAAGTGACCCATAACAACACTACTTAACGTCAAGATATCATCGTGTATGATTCAAATATCGGAAACTGCCACACTGGATGTAGTCAGAGGCGATTCTAGAGTGTGGTGGGGCCCTAGGCATACAGTAAATCAATTGGGGGGCCCTCCAACCAGCGTTCATCACCATTTTGTCTGCCAGTGTGCTGATGCTTACTCCTCTTTCTTTTTCCCTCCTATATACGGATAATACCTCTTCATTTTTCTTTGTTTACTTTAATTGAAACACTTTAGTTATCACAGCAATAACGCATGCAACGGTTAGTAGGGCAACGAGAGTGAGTGCTCTCAGGTGGGGCCCTCTCAGGGAGGTTTTTCTACTGTCACTGCAAAATATGCACCTTTTGAGCCACTGCTTTGATTTAAGTTTGGTTTATCTCATATGTATGCTCTTATCTAAACTCCTCTTATGTTTTAACTTGGTAATTTCTTATCTTACTTACTTTGTCTATGTATGTTTTATATTTATATTTACTTTTTATTAATATTATAGTTTGGGTTTTTTGATCCTTTAACCACTTGTTTCTATTTCTTTTACTGTCTTACCTTCTTACTGCTGTTATCTTTTTATTTGCTTTCAGCTCTTTTAGTTTCTTACACATTTTTAAATCTTTGGTTCCTCTTGGTCTCAGCTCGTGTTGTTGGGTTCTCGTGTTGCCTGGGTTCTTATCATGGTTCTTGTGATGGTTCTTGTGATGGTTCTTATCATGGTTCTTGTGATGGTCGGGTTATATATGTCTGTTGGGTATCGTGCACTTTGGGTTCTTTTCTGTTGAATTGTATTTAATTATTTTTAGTATTTTGCATCTGTTATATTCTTACTGTTGTTAATGTTCTTCTGTGTTTGGTTTAGTTTGCTTTGTTCTTGTTTGTCAAAGCACTTTGTAAACCTGTGTTTTTAAAAGGTGCTATATAAATAAAGTTATTATTATTATTATTATTATTATTAAGTTTGTGAGCACTCGGGGGCCCCTTACTGGTCTGGGGCCCCCATCGGCTCCCTGCCATGCCTGTGGACAAACAGCTCCATTGGATGTATTCCTGCAGGTTTTGGGAGAAATACTATACTGTTAACTCAGGTAAGAAAAGACAGGTGAAATGTGTGTTTACCTGGGACCATTGTAGAATACATTCAAGGCAGAAAACATGCCGACAGCTCTGCAGAGAACCCACGGCTCGCTTTTCAAACGGGTTCAGGCAAATGTAGCATTTATCTGACTCTACCATCAAATCTTCAGCCTCTCCACCTGCTGCGTTAAACACAGAGGACTCGTCCATGTCCATTATCTCCCAACAACATGTTTTAAAAGATGTTATCGTATCAGCAGTCTTCAACGTTGGTACGAAACTTCATTTTCTCACTGCTGTTGCTAGGAGACGGAGACCCCAACTTGTCCATTAACCGCCATCCATTCAAATGCAATGAGTTCACCCAGAAAGGGGCGGGGCCGGCATCGTTTGGGCAAAGTACCCGGATGGGTTGCTCTCATGAATTCAGCATTAGCTGTAAAGTAACACTACGTGGATAACTACAAAGTCATGATAGTCTTACAGGTAAACCGTTTCTTCGCTTATACCTGTTTAGTTAAGTTCTGAATATAAAATATTAAGTAAATATAACTCGCATGTAGCTGAACATTTCAGCCTACGTCGACTTGCTTTACTTTCAATTTCCGCGCGTCAGATGACAACTTCCTTCCAATCCCTTCAGAATAAAAGCGACATGTCAACACAGTTCTAAGTTAGAACTGTTCAGTTCCTGCTCATCATAATTAGTAAAAAAATAAAAAATAGTAGTGTAGCTTCTAACACTACTATTTTGTTTACTTATTATGATGAGCAGGAACTGAACCATACAAGCATTCTGCATGTGACTCAATTTCATTATTCAAACTTGTTTAAAGGGCTTCAATTGTGATATTGTAACTGTGTTAAAGTCCCTGTAAACCAAAAAAAAAAAATGTTTTTTAGTTTTTTATACAAAAGAAGAATGTATTATTAACCACCAGGCAAAATTTCAGCAATGAAAAAAACTTATAAATTTATCAAATTAAGCTTCAAAATCATGAAAAATGTAGCTGTTCTCTCTCCTCTGGGATGCTGTGGGCGTAAAATCGGAAATCAGTCAAACATAGTTCTCAGTCTTTTCACATGTTTATGGTTTAAAGCTATCCTCTTGCAACATATTTAGAGTGCTTGGAGACATATTGCTGATTTTACTTTACAGAGACTTTAACAATCTGGCGGTCTAAGACATCAACATGACATTGTTCTTATCTGCACAAGGTGATAAATAGATTTGGATCCAATGGATTAAGTAACTTGTTGGCTTCAAATAGCATGTATGACAATGTCTTAATTCATGAAGAACTTGTTTAACAAACCAACAATTAATTGCAAAGATAAAAAAAAACCCACCTTTGCTTTCATTAAACCCCCATTTTCTAGTTAGTTACAATTACATTATGTGATTGAACAATGGACATTCAATGAGTCCTGATATCAGGGAGGAGTGATTATACATCAGCACTGGGACTTTACCTTTGTGTACTATACTGATGCTGGTTAGCTGACCACTGGTTACATGAGAAATAAAGGCATACAGATAAATAAAAACAGTAGCAGCTTGTAGACCTTATAAAAACAGCAACAGCATGTTTGTGTTATTTTTGGTTCAGTTTTAGTCACATTGCAGAACTAGTCATGTCGGTGCAGCAAATTAACTATATGAGTCAATGATTATTGATTTAATGTATATGCGGCTTGCAGAACTGTTGCATACAAGCAACGTCACACTTTATGTTGTGCTTATTAAACAAAAACAATGCTATTATTCTCTGCAGTAGTACTCAGCCTCAACAGCATAACCTCAAGTGTGGCATTAATTCAAAACTAAGTAATCCTACTCTGAAGAAAAAACCTCAGACACTATTTTTGACCTGTAGGTTTGTGTCTGCCTGCTGTGAGGGAAGGTAAGTCTTGTGCTTGTTTTGCCAACACTGTTGTTGTATTTGGAAATAAGCACAGCAAGTTACAATGAAACACAGAAATACAATACACTATAAATAGGCCTATCTTATTATACTGAAGTGGGTTGGTAACAAAAGTAGACTTGCGTGTATGAGCAAGCATCACACACTGGTTTCCTGCTCTGAACACTACTCCTACAGAACACCGACACAGGAAATTAAGACGCCTGAGCAAAGAGCAGCATGGTATTTACTCACCGTCTTCTGAGAGGAGCAGCAGACACAGTTTTCATCTCCTGAGTCTTCAGCATGCGGTGTAGCTTCTTGCATTTGAAGAACAGACAAAGGACAACCAGATTTCGGTGAGCAAAATCTTTTCAGATATATATATATTTTTTTAGCTTTACATTTAGTTTGTGTTAATGTAATGTCTTTTCAGATATATATATATTTTTTTAGCTTTACATTTAGTTTGTGTTAATGTTTTACAATATGAAATCTTCGGCCACATGTTAAACTATATTCCAGCATTTTATATATTTTGTCTAAGTAAGCGGAACAAAAAGCCACCAATGTTGGAAATGTGTCCCTGTGCTTCAAGGGGAAAGGGTCATTTCGTCTACTTTAGATATTCAATTAAGAGTAAACCTTGTTTTTTCTACTTTTTATTTATTTGAGAAAACTGAATAGCCTACAATATTTTTTAGGCATCTTCTGGAGTAAAAATCAAGAGTTAAAAGCAGAGTCTAAGAATGACAAAGTTGATTTCAGTCAAGCTGTGGATGTTTGTCAGTACAGTGTCAAAGTAGTGGAAAAACTCTGATCGGAAACTTGCTTGTGTTGATACAGTTTCAGTGAACAGCCTCCAGCGCAGCAGCACTTATGAGAAAATCATCCTACGCTGTGTCACGTCATCTTCCCTGAAAAAAAACAACAACAACTAAATCTTCAAAGATGAACGGGACAGATGAGTGCAGCCTCCCTTCAGCAGAGTACCAGTACTACCTTTTCCCAGTGGTCTACATCCTTGCCTTAGTGGTCGGTCTTCCAGGAAACCTGTCTGCCTTCTACGTCTTCACTTTCAGGACGGCTCCCCGCACGGCCTTCAGTGTCTTCATCAGCAACTTGGCTCTTGCAGACATCGTCATCCTCTGCACGCTGCCCTTAAAGATCCACTACCACCTCCACAAAAACAACTGGGTGTTCGGGGACGTTGCGTGCCGTGTCACCGGGATCGTTTTCTTTGCCAACATCTACTTGAGCATCTGTTTCATGACGTGCATCTGCGTAGATCGCTACGTGGCCACCGTACATCCACACAAGTATCTGCGGTTGAGGAGCGTCTGGTGCTCCCTGGTCGTGAGTGCGTTGTTGTGGTGTGTAGTCGGCGTGGCCATGCTGGTCTTCGTCCTCATGGGACCTCTGAAAACCAATCAAGATGTTTCTGGAAGCCACAGCTGCTTTGAGAATTTCGCCAAGCACGAGTGGAACACGCGCTTGGCGGCGTACAGCGTGCTGAGTCTCATCTTCGGCTCTCTGCTGCCCTCCATCATCATCCTGGTGTGTTACCCGCTGGCAGCCAGGCGGATCTCCATGATCAAGACCAGAACTGCCCAAAAAGCAGTGATGGTCATTTACACCATCCTCGCTATAACGCTGCTCTGCTTCCTGCCCAACCACGTGGTGTATCTGCTGCACCTTCTCCGACGCATGGACATCATCCAAAGTTGCTCCGCCGCAAACGCCATCTACAACGCCAGGCGGGTAACCATGGCACTCGTTGTCCTCAACACATGCCTGGACCCTGTTCTTTACTACATCACCACCAGTCACTGCAAATGGAAGAACTTTAAGATCTCTTGTTCATGGGCAAGATTTCGGCGGCGCAGAGGGATTTATACCATCGCAGTGAGCGAGTAGATAACAGGATAACCCTCCTGCAAATATAGCTTTGTATATACGTTGTTGCACAAATGAGACTTTTCTACAAAGATTTTCATCCAGATTGGTGTTGTACATCAAAATAAAGGGAAACACAAAAAAATCTTGTTTTCTTTATGTTTTGCAGCCAGTAAAGGGAGCTCATGAAAGACGTTGCAGCGGTTTTTTTATTATAAAAAAAGAATCATTCAGTGTAGGCAGCCGGTATGGAAATGTGTTAAAGTCCACATACTGACAGTAAAAGGGAGCAAATTCAGTCTTAACACCTTTGAAGTTTACAGATACAAATTGGTAGTTTTCTGCACTTGCTAGCCTCTAAAATGTCCAGGCTCAAAATAATCATTGTCTCTGAGTTGTTCCTTCAAATGATCACAGTCTGGGGCGAAGGTTATTTTTCAGCACAGTCCAGATGGAAGCCCTTTTTTCAGCAGGGTTGAAAGAAAACTCCCCAGGTCCTCGTCCTGGAAAGAGACAACAAAACATCAGATCAACAAAATTACAAACTGCCCCAAAAACGTCACTTTAAAACCATTTGAAAAAGCCCCAGAGCACCTCAAAGGTTTCACATACTCGAGTTATAGCAGTCCCAAAATACTGTTGAGATAAGGAATTAAGAATAGAAGAAAAATGGCAAAAATCTCAGCTGAAAACTGCAAACACATTTTCACGATGTATGTCTATCAAATCTATGGGGTTAGAATTTTTTAATGGTTAATTAATTTTAGGTTAACTGACCAAAATCATGAGTGTTTGTTTATCTGTTTATTTCTAAGGATCCCCATTAGCTGCACCCGAGAGCAAAGCTATTCTTCCTGGAGTCCACATGAAAAACAAAACTTATAGGTTTATAAAAATGAACATATTTAAACATAATTTAATTAGGCACTACAGTCCACCTCTCCAACCCCTCTACATTCGTGTTTGCAAAAAGGCGTTCACAAATTGGAATGCACCATAAGTAAACACTAAGCGCAGGCGGTGGACAAAATCGTCCTTGTCTCAAGCTGCATTCTTGTGTTAGCAGGCTAATGGTAGCGCTCTTTAGTTTGCTTGTAGCTGCACACTGCATGTAAATTTACACCAAAAGAACATGATCTACAAACGCTTACGTTCAAATACGCAGTGAGTACAGTAAGTTATTCTTCTTTTCTCTAGTCCCTAAATTAAAAAGCTTTTATACACAAGGGGATGAGCCAGCCGGCCGTCCTGTCTGTGTAAACATGCTGTAGATACCGCTCAGACAACATCAGACAGAGGGACTCACACTCATTGTGGACAGTCAGGACTCAGAGATATGTACTGAGGATTTACTGGATTTCAGCTATATTTATGTGTAAAATGTTGCACATTATTTCAATCAAAACCTACAGAATATGTTAGATACCCCCTGTTTATTGTGTGACAAAGAGGCAGAAGTACAAATGCTTTCACTTGTTTTGCACATAAAATTTAAAGCCACAGGAGCCGCTCTCCTTCCACTGCACTGTGTCTCAGTTTGACAGGTAGGTTTCCCTTCCTTCCACTTTCATCTTCATCGCACACTGCCCAAACCTGAATGTTATTCTGTCTACCCACAAATGTTTTCACTTCCTGTGGCTCATGAGACCGCTCCTCAGCCTAAGAGTGTTTGTAACCCCTCAGCACCAACAGTGCGGTAAGGTAGGTTTAAGACACATAATGAACTTGCACGATGTGATAGGAAACAGTGCGAGCAGACTTTAAAGCATCCTAAAAATATATATTTTAGAGGTTTTTGATGTAACTCTTCTTGAACATTATTTACTCATACATCACTGTTTGTGCATTCATTTGATTTTGCTCCATCCTGGCTGCTTGTTTTTACATAGTTGTGCAGTATAAATAAAATCTGGGTCATGTTTTGTTCTAATACATTTTTGAAGCCTTTTAGGCAAACACGTTATAGTAATAGTGGAGAGCAACATGAAATGAGACGGAAAGAGAGAAGGGGACTGACACACGTCAAAGTCTAACCAGCTTGGAATCAAAATTGGGAGTTTCTGCTCATTTATAACATTGAATTTGATGCATGCAGAGGTAGACAAATGCTTTCTCTGCAGACAACAGGTCTAACAACATTTTTCCTGTTTTAAACGTTGATAATGACAAGAATACTTTTTGTGTTCCACTATGATAAATTAGACTTTCATCAACCTCACGATGATCACATATTTATGCTTGCATGAAGTTGGTTATCAGTTTCTCACTTTTAATTCCTGTTTAAATAGATGAACTTGTGGACAGTGGTCTTGTAAGGAAGTCATATGACAGGACTGGATGTCGCTTGTTTACTATAAACTTTTTTATCTCAATGATTTCTACCATTTGGATCACTTTTAATCAGATCATTATAAGGTGACATTTTCATGCTGCATTCAGAGACTGATAGAGTGCTTCATTGGTTTAAGACATATCTGTATGAGAGGAGATGTTATGTTTCCATCTGAGGGTATGTTTCCAAAACAGTCACCAGATAGTATTACATGGAGTGCCACAAGGATCTATTTATGGTCCCCTTCGTTTTATGTTTATCTGTATGTGCAACAAAACGTTTTTAATTCATTACAACATTTCGAATACCTCTGGATTGAAACTTTTTGTGGCATATGAGGAAGTGTGTGGGCTTACCTTCTTCCTCAATCTGCTGATGTTGCACTGCCCTGCACTTACATGATGTGCGTATAACTACCTCCTTTTTCTATCTTTAAGTGCAAGCCATCAGTAAACACAGATGTCATTTTCTTATCTATAGAGAAGATAGATAGTGAATTGTAGAAGATAAATACCTTCATTTCCTCGTCCATGAATCCTCTCAGCCTTGTTACCATGTTACATAATGTAACACTGAAGTACTTTACATGTGTGTGTGTGTGTGCGTGAGATGTTCTGCTCTGCTCTGCGATAATCTGTTATGTTTGTTATAGTTTGAATTGTGACCTAAATGGCATCGTTTATGTTTAATATTGTACATGGTCCCTTTACAAATAAAAAAGTTAAATGAATAAATAATAATAGTGGACATCATGGGTTGATTTAAAAACAGTTTACCTCCTAATTAAGTGCTAAGGCACCAAGGTACTTATGTTAGAGGACAAAAACTGAGGACTCATCTTGATTTCTTGGCAGCAAAAAAAGAAATTACGTGGAAATTTAAATATTGGTGGTTTGAGGCCGCCTATCAAAACCCCATCTTTGGAAACTTTCAACCTCATTCATCACCTGTTTAACTGACTGTTCTTCTGCATTTTTGTAACTCTTACTCTAGTAGAGGGGTCATATGAGGATTTAATACATCTTTTGATTTACCTTCAAATTTATAACGGCCACATCTCTGCTGCATTCAAATCTTATTTTGGTGTATGTTAATGTTTTGCGCTGCCTTTCTGCCTAAAATTTCTTTATCTGAAAATAAGTCTCATGTTCAAAGCATTACAAAGACCATTAAGATGCCTTTGTGAAGTGTGTAATTAATAAGTAAAGCTCAAAGAACAATAATAGTTTACCTGATAACTCCAGAGAGCAGCAGGACCTTGGTGTTGGGGTCTTCAGCGGAGGAGGAGACTTTGATGACAATGGACTCCACCATGACTGTGCCATCAGGAAGGTGCTGGATTGTGTAACCTTTTAACACGCTGAAGCACAGATAAATAAAAACTATGTGTTATAGCAGATAAAAGCATTTTCTCAAAAGGTGAAGATAAATGGAAAGTGTAGTAAAACTAGTTTGACCTATTAGTTAAATAATCTCCCACATCACCAACGATCCGGTCATAAAAACAGATAATCTCCTAAATCTTAATTCTCAGAAAAGATTACACAAACACGATACAGGAACATGTACATCATAATCAAATACGAGATGAACAGAAAGAAGACCCTCGAAGAAAATAACCTCTTATAAATGTGAAAAAGTAGACATTCAGACTGTGAAATTGTTTCAAAGAAACAGTAAAAAAGTGAGATGAGACCCCGTCACCCTCATCTTCCTGCAGTGCTCCGCTCACCTCTTCAGGTGTGTGTAGACTCTGTGGAGTGTGTCTGTGTCGCTGTGCGGGTCCTGGAGCTGCACGCGGCAGGTGAAGCGTAACTGATGTTCGTTGAGGCCGAGCTCCTTCAGGGCCTGCTCTGATGACACCAGCTTCAGACTCTGTGCTCAGAGAAAAACAACAACAAAGAAAGTAATATTATCAGCATCCGTTGGTCCGCGCTGACAGAGCAAATCAACAAGACCAAAGGTCAAAGTAGCAGTAAAAAAAAAAAAAAAGACAGACTCCCTGATCTGGTGTGTGCAGTATAGCGAGAACAAACTTACATTTTCTTTCATGATCAGAGTTCCATGCATGGTGCGAGGTTTCTTGGGGTCAGGAAGAGGCCCTTCAACACAAGAACAGAACAGTTTATTAAAGATAAAAGAAGCAAACCCTGGGTAGTAATGTATTTACTCCAATTTTCAAACAATCCTATTGAAACTTCACATGGTGCTACGATCCAAGGAAAGGGTCCAAGTGTCTATTATGACCCAAGCCTGTTACATGGGGGGGGTAACAATTTAACTAACATCAATCTACTGCTGTGACATTTACATTTTAAACGTGTTGGCAGATAGGTGGCCAATGATAACGATTTTATCTAGATACAGCAATTCGGCGATAACTGATATATTTCAAGACTATCATATATAAATATTTGACTTACTAAAGGATATGAAATGCCTCTAAAAAAGGTAAAGTGCAGGATTCATGTATTCATTCTTCTCTTACTCCGCTTTGTTCTTTAACATCTTTTCCACCACTGTCTGAGATGATCCTGCTTTCTTCTTCGGCCAATTTACAGTGATTCAATAATCGTATCACACGAGTCAGGGCGCCGATATATATTTTTTCCCAGCCCTGATCTGAACCATTGGTACCTTAAAACCCTTTCACATGTGAAGTTCCTGAACAATCAATGAATCATACCTCCCAGAGCCATCTCCCTCTTGAGCAGGTTGAGTGAGATGTCCACAGGCACGCTGGGGTTTGTAGTCACAGTCGCTGTCTCCCCATTGGCCGGCATGTAACAGTCTATGCCTGTCATTAAAAAAAAAAAAAAACAGGAACATTTATAAGCGTTCTACTGCTCGTGTGTGTTTTTTATACCTTTAAACAGGAAAAACATGATTTATGTGACAGGTCTATGGACGGAGATTCACTCACTGAACTCCTGCTCTATCTTGCCCTTCAGGAACACCATCTTGGCTCCCTCCCCGTGCACCAGCAGCATGTTTCGAGGCTCGGCCATACGGATGAGCTGCATGATGCCCTTAGCGTCTGCATGGGCGCTGAAGGACATGTACTCCACCTGAAGCTTCACATCCAGCTGTAGGAATCACAGGAAGTAAGAGAGAGAGTTAAACGAGAAGATGAATACCACTTCCATTTATTTTTGAATGAATATGAAGTTAGAGCCAGAAGATTACACAACACCAGATTTTTGATTCCAATACTTGTTTTGCTACCAGGGCAACAAAAATACAAGTGCCAAGCACCTAACACAGAGTCCTCACAGCACACAAGGGTTGGATTTCCTGCGACATCGTGCACGATTGCACACTCACTGTCCACACTGCATCTGTTAAATATTTCATCCTCGACTCTGTGAATTTCAGTTTCCCTCTTGCAAACAGTTTGACTTCTAGTGCTTTTCAATTGTAGGTCGACTAACGTAAGTGTGGTGCTTTTGCATTGACGAGCGGATGTATATATTATTAATGAAACATATCACTACTTAGCAAAACAAGCGAACAAGCTGTGTTGAGTGAGAAAAGCGAGTGTCAGTGCCTCGTAGAGAACCCCTCCTTCCTCCTTCGTTTACACGAGCGACAGAGAGGAAAATAGGAACAGGGCGTTGTGTTGCGTCGTGCTGCTTTGCACTGCATCGCTAGCAGGCGGTTAGCTGTAGTGTTGGATCATTTCTTGTTTTTAATGAGCAAAAATTGCACGCAAACTCCTGCACACCATCTTAATTGCATTGCAAATGCATTGGCAACGTTTTGGTCCTGAAATGTTGCAATCCTATTCGTGCAATTCAGAAGTTGCTCCCTTTCTTTTGATTGCAGCAGCTTTTGGTTGAAAATATGACTGAAGATCTGGAGTGTTTTTTTGAAAGCTTGGTACTTTTGATACTATTGACCATTTTAATAACAGAGATTGTATCATTTTTGAAACACACACAGTATTGAGAAGAATCAAAGTTCAAAATGTTGACGACTTTAGACAACACGAATGTTTTTGAAAAAGACTTTTCCTTAAATCTGACATCTGAATGTGTAGACCTGACTACTGTGCAGCCAATCAACAATTCATTCAAAAAGCACTTCGACTCACATTTTGCCCTCAACCAGTTTAGTGTCTCTTAGTAAGAAATATTGAAATTTTCCATAAATGTTGACTCATTTTTCAGCCCAACTTCCATCCATGAAAATCTTCCAGCACAACATTAAAAGTAACAAAGATGTGATTTTTTTTTAATTGTGACCTGCTGAGGGACTGCAGATGTAAACTAGCTCTGAGCTAACTCTGGTACAATGCATCAAATGGCAACATTTATGTTTAATATTGTACATGCTCCCTCTACAAATAAAAAAGTGAAATAGATAAAGATGCATCTTACTGTTGCTCTTCCTTCCATCTCAAGTTTTCTCTGCCCATTCAGGATCTTGTGACCGATTGTTCCTTGTACACAATATCCAGGCATGATGACCTGAAGGCAGAAAAGTGAAATACGTTAGTTTTTAAGAACTGTCATCTGAATTAATAAATAAATAAATAAAGATGTGTTTCCTTTTGAGACTCACCATGTTCTTCTCATTGCCGGCCCATTTCTTAAAGATCTGTAAAGACTGACCGGCGTGCAGCATCCCTGGTGTGGCGAACACCACCTGAAAGTTCACATGTTGTTGTTAAGTAAATCATATCATTACAAAAAAATAAAAAATGTCTTAAACACACAAAGGAGGGAAACTGCACTCACCATGGGTCCGGGGTTATCAGCGTAGGAGCGGTCAAATGGCTTGATGTGTTTAAACTCGAACATGTTTCTCTGTACGAAGGTTTTGCGGATCTTCTGGTTGGTCCACGTGATGAAGAGCTTGTAGTAATGGTTTGCCTTCTCCGTCAGCCCGGTGGAGAAGTAGATGGGGGCCTTCAGGTTCATCCTCTCCCTGGTGGGTAAGAGGAGAAAATGAATAACATCAAAAAGATCACACGCCCCAATTATTACATCGTGTCTAATCAAGGAGGAGGTTTTTTTTTAAATCCAGACAAACTGTGACTATGATCAGTGTAAACCTTTTTCAATCTGCTCACTTCCTTTATCATTAACGTTATGAACTTTAACTGGCCTTTGTCTGATATCAGTCAGACAGAGAACAGTTATTATCTGTCCTGCTTTCTAATTATGATCTTAAACAGGATATTTGTCACATTCACAAACTTATGCTGATCATTTTCAATATAAAATGCATTTTAAAGGCTTTATATGTGATTTCTTTGATCCAGCAGATGTCGCCCTTGAGCACCAGCATGAAACCAAACCAACTTGCGTGCGCTGTTGTGTTAGCATGCTAATGCTAGCGATCTTTATTATGCTGGTATCTTCACACTGCATGTAAATTTACCTGAAATGAGCGTGATCTAGAAACACAGTTAAGCAGTGAGTACAGTATGTTATTCTTCTTTTCTCTAGTCCCTCAATTAAACAACTTTTATACACGAGGGGAGGAGTCAGCCGGCCGCCCGGGCGATGTAAACAAAGTGAAGATAGGACTCTGAAAACTCTGAAAACATCACAGACAGTGGACTCGGGTGTTACACCCATTGTAGACAGTCATGACTCACTGAGTTATTTTCAGAGGATACTTGATTTCTGCTACATTTAAGTGTGAAAAATCTCATATAAAGACTTTAATAAAAAAAATGTTAAAATAATACTGAAAGAACAGCTCTACCAAAAGGTCTCCAGCAGAATGCAGAGTTCTTGAGCTCTTCCGAGGGCAAAAACTGGAATGAGAACCTGAAAAGATAGACACACAAAACAACAGAAGATGTTGAAAAAATTCACTGAATTCTTTAATTCAGAGTCAAATCCAGACATGTGTGAAGTTATCTTCTCAAACATGCAGCACACAGCAGGAGCTTTTCAGTGTCAGAGGCGTTCTCACCTACTGAAATACCAGTCAGCAGCGTCGGCCCCTTTTTGTATACAGTGTATTTATAATATAATATAAGAAGATTAAAACTTCACCATCACAACACGGAAGTTACCTTTCCTCCTCTTTCTATGCTTTCGTGAACTTTCTTCAAAAAGTCCCGCTCTCGGCACCTCTTCGAGTCACGGATGGTGGTGGCATACGTCGACTCTGAGATGAGGATGTCCGGACGGCACTTATCGATCCACGCAGCTCTGCATACACACAAACACAAATATGAAGAGACAGAACAGCCGAGCGAGAAACTCAGGGAGATAAAAAAAAAAAGATAAGTGCCACTTACCCTAGATGCCTGTCAGGTGTCATGTTGTAGTCTCCCTGAAAAATCAAAAGACGTTATTCCGAGCTGCTAAGTCCAATAACTCTGATACAGTGCAGGCTCGTGTACTCACAGTGTAGACCACAGACTCTGATCCCACTTTGATGTGCACCATGGCAGCACCCAGGACGTGGCCTGCATAGTACGCCTTGATCTCCAGCTCGTCATCCACCTGCCGGCAGCACAACAGAAACAGCTTGATTTACCATCAAAAGCGAGACGGGCAGCTGGCGGACAGATGACTAAAGGGACGGAGGCGGCAAAAAGTGACACGAGCATCGCACCTGGACGGTTTGGTGGAGGTTCAAAGGCACCACTTTCTTCATGCAGTCCTTGATCATCTGGGATGTGAAGAAGTTGGTTTCTCCCTTTTTGTCCACCGTGATTTTCCGGAAGTCTTCCAGCAAAATGGGACATATGGCTTTGGTGGGGTGGGTCATGTAGATGGGTCCATCGTAGCCGACCATCTCGCTCATGAAGGGCAACGCGCCACAGTGGTCCAAGTGGAAGTGGCTGAGGGAGAGAAACAGGTGTAACAATGCAACAAAAAAAATAACAATAATAGAAAATAGTAATACAACTAGTCATTGTAAACATATGGACGACAAACCTGATGATCACACAGTCCAAGAACTCTGTCAGACGCCCATTCTGGGTTATATAAGAAAAGTCTGGGAAACGCCTCTGCAAAGACAAAATCAGCATGCCGGTTTTAGACTCGTATTTATTTTAAAGCTCTTACAGACACTTTTACATGACATTTAGAAAGATTAAAACAAAGCAAAACCAAGTTTAAAAAATGTGACCTTACGAGCATGCAGCTTTTTGTTCAATCAGTTTAATTTGTCAAGTATGTGGACACTGAAAGGAATTGACTCCAGTTTTATGCAGAGAAAAGCAGGCCTGCCGAGAACTGCACGCACCTCGCAGGACAATGCAAAATATGGCAGACTCCATTTCTATGCTGCAGAATCGCCCATTCACCCTTTAAATACAATGCTTCTGTATTTCTTTGGAAAAAACTCTTTTAAGTTCCTCTACAGACACTTTAAAGTCAAACACTGTTTAGAGCTCGGGTTTACGCAGGGTAATGAAAATCTGTCTCCCCCCCCCACTGTTCTTTTAGGTGGTTAGTTAGGTATATAACGCACACACACTAATAAACCTATCCAGAAACTACTAACACAAAATAATACAACAGCCTAAAAACAATAAAAAAAATTACACATTAATTTAATTTCCATTTCACTTAATGATTCTGTCTTTTATGATATTGGACTACTTTTAGTATATTTACAAAAATGTGTAAAAAGATATTCTTATGCACTTTTAAATGATTTTTGATTTTTTTATGGAAGGCATCTCGCGCCCCCCCCCGACCCGACCCGACCCTCACTTTTGGGAAACACTGCTATAGAACAATAAGGACAATTCACTTTATTAAGCATAAACTTCAGACGCTGTGTTATCAAAGATCAGCAACAAGAAACAAGAGTTTAAATCCTGTTTTTAAACTGCTCCAAGAGGTGCGTGCAATTCTCGACACAACACGGGTTTTGCATTACTCTCAGTGTTCAGACATACGTACACGTTCAATACACAACCACAAATATAAAACACAACAACAACACTTGTAGACATCAGATAATAAGACTTATGTGTTATGTAGAGTGCAGAGTTGCTGAGATGAATATGGGTTTTATGAATCAGGATACAAGAGGTAGATGGTTTCAGTATGAACAGTGTTTACAGAGGATGAATTACATCACACAGAGGATGCATTTAAACACCACAATAAGTATTCCCATGCACAGTGGTGTGTTTTGTACTTCACTGGATTAGGACTTCATGACAGTTTGAGCAAAGAATTTAAAAAGTTAGTCACTTACGTCATCATTGTATCCCATGTGCATCCCACAGTCGAGCATTATGTTTTTGCCTCCGATAGAGACGAGGATGCAGCTGCGGCCGACATCCTGTCCAGCACCTTGGAGAGAGAAACAGCTGATTACAAAACAAGTCCGTGAACGCACCACGAAAGTTAGCCTCTCCAGCTAACTGCAACTTCAAAACCAAAAGTGTTTAAAGTTACAAGCTTTAGTCGACCATAAAGGCAACAAGCGCAGTTACCTTTAAAGGACAGGTAAACACTTAGCGAACTAAACTATCTGAAGTGTGTAGGTATTTATTGTTAGCTACATCAGATGCTAGTTAGCTGCTGTGACGTTACTCACCAAGTGGTGTTACTTTTATTTCAGGCATTTGTTTCTCATCGGGAAACTCTTGATTCAAATAAGGTGACCAACAGGTAGATGTACCAGCTGGTCTGACTGCTTTAGACGAATCTCTTCTGGTTTCACATGAAGATGCTCATTGTCTTAACTTGTATACATGTGGGAGTACCGTCGCTTTTTCTTACTGCTGTCAAGTTTGACGAAGTTAAACGGGAATGTTTCCGGTGAGGTTTTCAAAATAAAATAATCTATACTCCTCATGGTCTACTTTGGATTTGGGGTGTTAAGATACCGTGGAAGGATAATACAATCACACAATAAAATAATTGTTTTGACACTCTACTTGCAGGATTTCTCATTAAGGAAAATAAAATAAATAAGAGAATATTATAAAAAAACGTATGAAGGTTCCTAGATGTGAATTTGTTTACAGTACAAACTGTAGAAAGGAAGCCATATACAATTAAGAAATAGCATGATTTTTTTCTTATTTTTTTTAAATTCTTTATTTCAGATACATTGACCCAAAGCCTCATTAAACACACAATATGTGTAATATAAAACACCCACACATTGACATGGGGACTTTACTTTGGGGATTAATGGGGACCTCACTTCAATAATTAAAAAATAACTATCTTATTGGTGAAATTTCATGAAGTTCTACTACAAGTCATAAAATAATTTTTAAAATACCTTAAAAATAGAAATTGTAGTGGCGATATCTATAGTCTATAAATAACAAAAATTCCAAACATATTAAAAACTTAACACAAACTCATAATAAAGCCACTGAGGCACCTAGAGGGCGAATCTTACGCAGGATATGTTAATAAGTCCATTGTCCAGGTGATGATTGAAGGTTTTAGGGTGGTTTATTTTATCCAGAGACATCAAGCAGGCAACAAACAACAACAAAACGCTGCTGTCTCTCTTGCCCTGTCATCTTGGTAAAAAACATTAACCCATTAGGTGTCTACCTGAGTCTCACCTGGCTACCTGGCTATATAGACACACCCAAGTACAGACTCCACCCTTATGCCCCAAGTAGCAAAATGAACGAATGGAAATAACTCATATGAACGTAAACAATAATAATCAAAATACCATGAACATAATCTAATATTCAAATGTATCCCCAAAATATCCCAAAATAAGAATATAGACTTTCACTTAATTTAGGAACAGTGAATAGCTTTAATAGAAATAATAATAATCATTATTATTATTATTATTATTATAGTATAAACAATTTAGCAATAGCAGGACAGAATGAACAAAAGAGATAATATTGAGAAATTAGATTTTAGTATTGAAAATTAAGTAGAGCTCATTATAATGGTGAAGTAATGCAGAAGGGGTAAAGTAATAAAACAGAGTACATATATAAGCATGTATCGAACCTACACACACCCACAAACATGCACACACACACACACACACACACACACACACACACACACACACACACACACACACACATTGACTTGGATTCTTCTTTGGTACTTGAACTGGGACCCAGACTGGTGACTCGACTACAACACTGGATACCACAATTCACAGCCTTAATTTACATTTATTATATTATAAAACATATTTTAACTGTTAATTTTAACATTCATTTTCCAAATATTATAATTGGGAAAAGCCCCTACCTTTTAGATTTCCGTAACTAAGCACAGTGGCGAAGTTGAAATGCTTTTATTTTGAAGGCGACGTCTCAAATTTCCTGTCTTCTGCGGCTCGAGTTTGCGCAGTTAGAGGCGGGGATTAGAGCAGGAATGACCAGTCTACCCATGCATGCGTAAATAAATACTGACTTCCCTTTTCTCTGGTATCTGTTCGTTAAGGTAATGTGGTCGGGTTTTTGTCTCTTTACATCAGTATTCACACTTGTTTACACCTGTAGTCTGAAAGCAGCTGTTTGCCACCTGTAGTCATTTATTTGTTGCCTACATTGACAGCACTTCCGCACTGAGGCACCATGGCGGACTCGGTGGTTGCAGAAGATCAGAAATTCTCCTTAAAGGAGGTGCTGGACACTTTCAAGTTGTGTTTGACGGAAAATAAAGAAGTTTATCTCGAACATTACGTGGCTGGGTGGCGTGGTCTTGTCAAGTAAGTCATTTGGATTTAAACATGTTGGATTGTGTTGCACTTGCAGGTGGATCATGAAGCATCTGCTGTGTGGACATGTACGATTAAAGGCACATATACAAAAATCAACAAACAGAACTCATTTGTTTTTCATCTTTTATTAGGTTTCTGAACAGCTTGGGGAGTGTTTTTGGCTTCATTTCCAAGGATGCTGTCAACAAGATCAAGATCCTGGTGGGCTACCTGGAGGGAGACAACGGCTCTCAGTATGTCACCATCCAGTCTATGATGAAGTATGAGCTGGATAGTGGACTTGTGGACCTCACCAAGAGAGGCAACCACCCGGAGTCGGGCTGCCGCACTCTCCTGAGGCTCCACCGTGCGCTGAGGTGGCTCGAGCTCTTCCTGGAGCGCCTCCGCACCAGCAGCGAGGACGGCAAGACGTCCGTCATGTGTGCAGACGCTTACAACGAGTCCCTCGCCCAGCACCACCCTTGGGTGATCCGCAAGGCCGCGGGCATGGCGTTCTGCATGCTCCCCGGGCGGCTTGCCTTCCTGGAAGTGATGAATGTGGGCACACCTGAGCAGGTCGTAGCCATGCTGGGGGAAGCCCTGCCTCTAATCTCTGAGGTGTACCAGATCACAGAGGAACTTTACGCTCAGAATAACATGCTTGACTTACCGTAGCAGCAACGCGTGCTGTTATTTTAACATCTACATGAGTCAATATTTACTACTTGTTTATGCCGAATGGCTGTCGAGCTGGCTGCTAATCCTGTTTGGTGGTTTCAGTGTTACACATTCTCTGAACAGTGTTAATAATATTTTCAATGACACTAACCTGTTACTACTGCGTTACACGTGTTTAGTAAAAAACTAGTTGTATTTAAAAATGCTGCATGTTTATATTTACTCTTTACAGTGCACTTCTAAATTATCTTTTTTCATTTATAAAGGGAACTGCAATGCCCATGATCCTTTGCTCACCCGAACACTAGCTACTTTTGATTATTTATCAAAAAGAGAGACCACTTTAATAAACAATATTTAGAATTAGCGCTGCAATGATTAGTTGATTAGTAATAAACTGATCAGAAGAAAATAAATCTTGATTTTTATTTTGAGAATCAATTAATCTTTGTCATGATTTTTTAAGCAAAATAACCAAAACCAAAGTTTTTTTTGGCAATAAAACTTTTAAAACATGCTGCTCTTGATTGTACTCTACAGTAAATTGTATTTTTTATTCTTTTTGATGGGCCTGATAATTATTAAAATTATATTATATTGAATAACACCAGTTAATGTATTTATTTATATTGTCTTTTAGTTTAAAATCAGACAAAAAAAATCAACTAACAGTAGTAGCGATTTGCAATAAAAAACTTGCTTCTCCAGCCACAAAAAATAATTAAAAGGAGGCGCCAAAGTCACAATGAAAATATCACATTAAGTACTGGAAAAATGTGGACATTGAATATTATTATTTTTAAGGAATACAATCTTTTTTGGTAACTACTGAAACTAACTCTTTTAGTGGTGGACTCAGACTTTTAAAACTGGTTATGGTCTTAAGTCGACTTTTAATTGAATGTATAAATGACAAAATATGCTGTTTTACAAGAATGTACTGTACTTTATACAACATATATATGACCATTTATTCAAACAGGATGAATAAACAACGATGTTTAATTCCACGACATTGGTGGCTGTGTGATTATTGACCATTTCAAGTTACATTTAATCAAACGGTTCCAACCTTAGTTAGTTCCAAATTATTTTATACATGTAGGAAAAGTGATTAAAACATTGAGGCAACAAAACAATGTTGTTGTTTTTTTGTTTAGGGAGCTCTTAACCAAGGCCTGTACATCCTAACTCGACCAGAGGGATTATACACTGCCTGGCCAAAAGAAAAGATCACACACTCTAATATTTTGTTGGACCGCCTTTAGCTTTGAGTACGCCACGCATTCGCTGTGGAATTGTTTCGATAAGCTTCTGCAATGTCACAAGATTTATTTCCGTCCAGTGTTGCGTTCATTTTTCACCAAGATCTTGTATTGATGATGGGAGAGTCGGTCCACTGTGCAAAGTCTCCACCAGGACATCCCAAAGATTCTCAATGGGGTTAAGGTCTGGACTCTGTGGTGGACAATCCATGTGTGAAAATGACGTCTCATGCACCCTGAAACCACTCCACCACAATTCGAGCCCGATGAATCCTGGCATTGTCATCTTGGAATATGCCCGTGCCGTCAGGGAAGAAAAAAAATCCATTGATGGAATAACCTGGTCATTCAGTATATTCAGGTAGTCAGCAGGCACATAATGTTGCTGAACCTAGACCAACTGCAGCAACCCCAGATCACAACCACTGCCCCCACAGGCTGGTACAGTAGGCATGATTGGTGCATCACTTCATCTGCCTCTCTTCTTACCCTGATCACTCTGGAACAGGGGAAATCTTCCTTCTAGTTTTTAATAATGCTCTGGACAGTTCTTAACCCAATTTTAGTAGTTTCTGCAATCTCCTTCGATGTGTTCTCTGCTTGATGCCTGCCAGTGATTTGACCCTCCTCAAACAGACTTAACATCTTTTCCACGACCACAGGATGGGTCTTTCAACACAGTTGTTTAAGAAATGAGAAGCTACTCATTGCATCAGTTGGGGTTAAATAACTTGTTGCCAGCTGAAAGATAATCGCCCATGCAGTTATTATTATCCAATGGGAGGCTCTTACCTATTTGCTTAGTTAAATCCAGGTGGCTGCCTGCTTTAAAGTTTTGGACAAGGCAGTGTATTTAACAAAACGTAGCTGCAGTTGCGCACTTCGAACACAAGGGGTCTCCTACCCGCCTTCAACCCAGCCCAGGTGGGTCGTCAAGGGAAACCAGACCGTCACGGCAACCTGGCTGACGCTTTAAGAACCTGCACTTCCTGTTGGTAAACTGTGAAAGTGACCAATTTGATACGCGGAAACAGTTTTTCCTCCACTGTTAACTTGTAGTTTATCTTCAGGAAACTTAACTTAGCAATGACTTTCTTTAGCCGACTCTTTTTTTTCCGAAAGGCTGAAGGCAGGAAAACAAGCTGAGCTCTTCTCGCACTCTTCCGTCCTGCACTGAAAGAAAGGTTTGCAATGAATTTAACACGGCCAAAGTCCTCCAAAGGGCGAAGCAGAACCGCTGTGGACAGCTCTGTTTTCGATGATTACGCGGACTACAGCGCCCAGAGGCCCCCTGTGTCTCCACACTCTCCTGCCGGGTCGGAGAGAAACCTCCGCTCCCAGTCCCAGCCTATAATGTGGCAGACTGGGCAGCAGAGCCCGGGTGAAGTCCTGCAGATGCCCCATCAGGCTCCCGCTGCTCCACCTCAGTCCTTAAACAAGTACAAGGTGCTTCCATCCATAGAGAGGAGACATTCAGAGGTGAGACGCCTAGAGAGACACATGTCCAAGCTACACCTGTCTGATGATGCCACCCTGCAGCAAAGGCAGGAGGGGCCACATCCCCCCAGAGGGAAAGCCAGCAGCTCTGCGAGGGACCTCCAAGTCTGGCCCAAGCACCCACCTGATCCAGGACCACAAACAACCAAAGAAGCCCCGAGTAGTTTGCTCTTGGCTATTAGGGCACCTTGTGGCAGGAGGTTTCAGCAGCAGTTTAACCCAGGAGACACCCTGCTGCAGGTAAAGATCAGTGCAGAGGCCATGTATGGAGTCCAGTACGGAGAGGCGTCAGTCGAGACCATGGATGTGCCACGCAGGACCTTCACTGACATGGAGATGACTTTGGCCCAGTGTGGCATCGTCAACAGATCGGTTCTGTGCATTTCTCACAATGACAGCGACGTGGAGAAAGAGTCAGGGTAATGATCAAGTGTTGATATGCTGTCGTAATCTGGATAATTTAAAGTCCTCCGGCAATTAAAATTGTTTCGTTAATTCTTTCTTGAATCAGATGATTGACTTTCACTTTGCAGAAGGATGTGCGCACAGAGTTTGATCTAAACAAATCTCAGAAACAAATCCCACAACTGGTTGGAGCTGATCCCAGTGCAATGTGACACTCACACCAGTGATGATGAAATCTGAACCTGCAGTGCACATACGCTCGGAAACTGACTTTTCAGCAATATTAAAGGTCACATATTATCCCCCTCCTCAACCAGTTTAAATAAGTCTCAGAGCTCCCCAAAACATGTCTGTGAATTTCTTTGTTCTAAATCCACTCTGATCCTGTATTTGATCATGTCTATAAACCCCTCTATTTTAGCCCTGCTCAGAACAGGCTGTTTCTCTGTCTGTACCTTTAAATATGTAAATGAGCTGTGTCTGACCACGCCCCCTCTCTGGAAGGGGATGTTGCTCTGGCTTTCTTGCACCATGCCCATCGTTTATCGTGAGAATGCAGACTCAGAGGGCAGAACAAACACCTAGCTGTGGGAGTGTCACCCACCTGGGGGAGGGGTTACTGCCCTTTGTGATGTCATGAAGGGAAAATCTCCAAACGGCCTGTTTGAGCACACATTTTCTGACAAGTGGAGCAGGCAAAAGACGCAGAGGATGGACTTTTCTCATGATTGGGGGTCATCATACAATTTGTAGGACTAGGGACTCATATTAGTGTTAGAAAAACATGGTAAAGTGTATTCTGCATAATATGCGACCTTTAAAAAATCTTCACAGAAGGAGTTTCAGAGCTCCAGATTATTGTTGTATTGTTTTGTAAGAATTTCAAACAGTTTTATTTATCCATTTCGGAAAGAAAAAAACCCACATTTGGCTGAGTTTATGTCCAGAGCAGGATATTTTCTTTGCAAAGTAGCTCACAACATACAAGGACTTTGCCTTGGTGCTTCGGAAAATGACAATAAACATATCACAGAGAATAAGAGAAACTTAAAAATCCTCAATACAATTCAAAAAAGTAAATGAATGTGTAAAGTAAAGCCATTGTTTTTAATGTATTGATAATTGAGCTGTGCAGTTTGTGCATAAATGTTGATAATGAACAGACAAATGTCTTTAAACTTATCTGGACGTGACCTTTAAGAATGTACACGTTGAGATTTTGTAACTTTTAATAAAAATTTGGAGCGATGACTTTCAGTAAATAATCTGATTACTTGTTTTACAGTTAAATTGAACTGACTACTGGAAGGAAATTCACTGAGATGTACTCTGTATGGTTAAGTAACGAGGGCCCGGATTCATAAGCATTCTGAGAATACTCTCAGAGGGCTCCTACATCTTCACAAGGATCTAGGCCTTACTTGAAGGTGGAAATTCTAAGAAAATGTCATGATTCAATGATTTCTTAGAATTTAGTCAGTAGGAGAAACTCTTTGTACTTAAGAGGCTTTGTGATTGATGATCTGAACAAGATTGTATTAAAGCAGCAAAAAAGCTAATGAAGAATCTACTGTTAGTCGTTGACTGAAGGTCAATCTGGTGTCAGTGATCGCAGATATTCTACTGCTTCAGGAAGTCTTTAAGTTGCCATTTTTTAACCTTTCTGTTTGAATCACTTGTCTGCTAAATAAACGTTCATCAGGAATCAGAGGCACAACTGTTATACAAACCTGAAAGTATATTTTCCCCTTGTTGATTATGCTTTTTATCTTGTTCATTGAATTGTTGGAGAGGATTAATTCCGGCTGATAAAGAGCAATATGTTCCTGATGAAAAGTGCAGGAAGCATGATGAACGCTCCATTTCTAATGACATCCAATTAAGACACACACTTTAGTTCACAACTGAACATTTACTCAAACAAAACAAACTGCAGAAAAGAGACATGCTTATTATCTTTTGAACACACTTTAGATTCCATACAGATATATATCTTCTGGTCGTATTACCTTGAATAAAGATTCCAAGCTGCTTTCAGACACGCCTGTTAAAATACGACTTGATAAGGTGCCAAACGACAGCAAGAAACCGAACTGGCTTAACATACCTCTATTTATTTATTTATCTTTGGCCACACAAAAACTGAGCCTCAGCTCGGGCTTCACAGCTTGATACAACCCCAAATTGAGATATTAGGAAACGTAATCGTCAGCGGCTACTCTGTCATATAATTTTTGAATTTCAAAAATTCACCAAAAGGATGTTTTATGTGAACTCAACCTTGCACAGGCAATGCAAATGTCTATCGGTGGCAATACTAAACTTATAACTAGAATTCACTTCAAACAATTCCACACTGCAAACAAACACTCTGAAGTATTGTCACAACCGTTCCTAAGTGCTGTTTGAACAGCCCATGGTTGCTTTGGGGTCTCTGGGAGACTTGCTTTAGGGGGTCTCTGGGAGACTTGCTTTGGGGTCTCTGGGAGACTTGCTTTGGGGTCTCTGGGAGACTTGCTTTAAGGCTTAAGGTGACTTCAGTAAACAATCCGAGTCGGACACATCAAATTAAATTCAAGTGAAAACTTTGGCACAAATAACTGCCGTGAAGTAACTTTGCATAGTCAGCATGCAATTTTTCTTCTGTAAACAATAAAATGCAAACAATAAACCCTTGAAAGAACTCAAGTCAGAGTAACACTGCTTCAGTGAAGGTTAGTGCATGAAGCGAAGCGTTCAGCTGATCAGTGCTTCTATCTCCTCCAGATTGGTCGTGTCAAGCTTTGTGATTCTTCTGTCTGCGAGGGAGGACAGAGCAATAAAAGAGTTTAGGGTATTTCCTTATTTGACTTTATTAAACTGTGGGAAAACAAACAAACAGTAACTTACTGAAGTGCATCTCAATCTGGTTGATGACATCCATGCTGTGTTTGCTGTCCACCATGTTGACAGCAAACCCTCGTCTGCCGAAGCGTCCTGTGCGGCCGATCCTGTGCAGGTACGTCTCGTTGTCGGCGTTTCCGTCAAAGTCAACTGGGAGATCAAAGTTGACCACGAGAGACACTTGTTCCACATCAATGCCTGGGATCAATGGAACCACACACACACCTTTGAGACATACGTTTCTTTTTATTTTAAATCACTTTTTTAATGATATCTTCCTCACCTCTGGAGCACACGTTTGTGGTCACCAGCACTTTCTCCTTTCCATTCCTAAAGCGCTCAATAACAGAAGCTCTCTGCTCCACAGTCATTTCCCCGCTCAGTAACGCCACTTGGTGGCCCTCTACGGTCAGGCTTGAAGCCAGCCAAGAAGCCATCTTGCGAGTCTAAAGAAAATGTTTGTGCACAATTGATTCAGTCAAACGAACTCTTGTCAGGGGATAATTTTACGAAATATGTGAATTCTTGTAATTTACGATCTATTTTCTTTTAAAGGAAAGTTGTAGAGCAACTGAGTCCATCTAGTGTGACTTCTACGTGATTCTTCTCGTTCTTTGTTTTGGCTTATGCAGAAAGTAGGACAGATCGAAACTAAAAAACTCACAAGAAACTTTTTATTTTGAAGTTAGTGTCTCTTTAGCAGCTGTTACATTGTGCTCAAAACATTATCTGTACTGCAAAAGCTCCTCCAAGCTTTCTTTTCACCTTGAAATTGTACCATTGAGCAAGATGTCAGAGGAAAATTAAGGTTAATATTGGAACTGGACATGGCAGTCAGTGAAACAACCAGAGTATCAGTGCATAATGTTACCAATGCAAACCCATGATAAAAGTCTTCATAAGCTCAAAACATGAATTGCTTCCTTTGTCTTTTGTTAGTTGGGCTACTAATTATATTTCCGAGGTTGCGAGCGAAATAAAAGAATGAAAAAGAAAAAAAGAATTTGTCTAAGGCCACAAAGTTAAGACCTAAACGGGGTTTAAACAACAGGGGAGGGGAATCTGGATTTTCCATTCATAATATGTTATGTATTAAACCGGTTTAAACAGCTGACTTACCTGGCAGAAGATCATGGCCTGTGCGATGGTGAGGCTGCCGTACAGATTACAGAGAGCCGTGAACTTGTCCTCCTTCTCCCTACAGAACACATAGAACTGCTTGATGGTGTCCAGCGTCTCCTCCTCGCGTTTCAGCCTGATGATATTTGGCTCAGGAACCACCTGCTCTGCAAACCTCCACACAGAGTCCTCGAAGGTGGCAGAGAAAAGGAGCATCTGACAGTTCTTTGTTAGCTGTCTGCATTTGAAAAAAAAAAAAAACAATGTGATGAGAAACATAAGAAGCTTGTTTCTGTTTTATCACCTTCAGGAGGTTTCTCTGAAAGGAACAAACCTGTGGATGCGAATGCTCTGGTCCCGGTGACCCTGTGTCGCAATCATCACATCTGCCTCGTCCAGCACAAACATTGTGATCTTCTTTGGGTCAATGAGCTTGTATTTGGTGCACCAGTCGAGGACCGTGCCTGGTGTTCCAATGACAATCTGCTCCTGCAACTTGACGCCTCGCCCCACTGAACAGAATGCAGAAGGCTCATGAAGCAGTATATCAAAAAGGACTCTCTAATGATTTCATCGAACACAACCACAATCAATGTCACATTCTTACATCTGTTGCCCCGAATGGCATATGCCAGCTTCACGTCAGGATAAAACTTCCCCATCTGCTCAATGACTTGACCGATCTGCAGAGCGAGCTCGTATGTTGGCGCGATGCAGAGGCACTGAAAGAACACACTCGTTTTTAGTGAGGAGAGTTTATCAGCATATGCAGTATTTTAAACATCTAGCATTGAACGTGGACACTGAAACTCTGGAGATTTCCTGTAACGTTTACCTGAGTCCATTCATTTTCTGGATTCACGTGACTGAGCATGGCCAGAGAAAAGGCCGCAGTTTTACCCGTGCCTGACTGCGACTGGGCGATCAGATTCTGGGGTCTGCAACCAAAGAAAATACAAACTTATGGAAATGAATAAATCAGACACTCAGGGGGAGGATGATTTTTATGAACATGAACATTAAGACAAGGTAGAAATAGTTCAGTCTTAAGATAACATAAAAGTTAATCTGGTGTGAATTAATGCCGTTTAAAGTTCTGCTCAAGCAAAAAGTGTAGAAGTGATTTACTACTGTGACAGATTCTCACTAGGAGGTGCAGCTTCTATTGTCCATAAATTATATTAAAAGTGAAAAATTTATATTTGGAGTGTCTGTCAGGTAAACAAGAATTTGGATGGATATTTTAATTGGCTTTTTTTTCCCCATTAACTTGCATACAACAAAACAAAAAAAAACATTTTTAAAAAACTGTAGTTGCAGTTAGGGCGGGGCGATATGGACCAAACCTCATATCTTGATATAGTTTAGCTGAATGGCGATACTCGATATGTCTTTAATTAACAGTCTGCTGCACGTTGTCAACATGTATATTCAAAAATAAACTACCTGTTTTTGAAATCAAAAAGTAAAGCTATAAATTAAAAATGTTCCTTAAACACAAAAAAAATTGTCATTTTCTGCATAACAAAGTTTGGCTCAGAGACGGAGAGAGGAGGAGCAGGGTGAAGGGTGAAGAGTGACAGAGAGATGAACTGGCAGCTCCACAGAAGTCATGTACAACGCTATTTTAATGAATCATAAACTATATCGATATTAACGATATTGTCTCACCCTTAACTTGTTTTAAAATGATCGATAGAACTTAAAAACTTGATATATCTTTGGCATGTTCTTCATGCCAAATTTGCTTCAACACACTCATTTTTTCCTGTGTGATATTGATCCAGATTTAGGTTTACAAACCCCTGAAGGGGGAAATTCTGGTTTACACTCTGTTATTGAGAGACATCTGATCTCACACTCAGAGGCCCGATTTACATGCACAAACAGGGACTTTGGAAAGATCTTAGGAGTCGTAAAACCACAGGTGTGAAACACAATAACGTTATGATTAAAATCTTTTGGATGCTCACAAAATAATCAAAACTGGATGAGAGAATAAATAGTGAGTCAAGTTCTTTAACCCTAAAATCCCCTTAAAGTTGGGCTAAATTAGATTATTTCCATAATTCATTTTTAATCTTCTTTTGACCAACAAATCGTATTATTGTCAAAACATATTACAAACTATAACAACACACACCTGATATATATCTCCCAAAGTTGAACTGGTGTTGTTAAGTTGCTCATTTTGTAAAATCAACACTTGCATTCAGAGATTGTTTATTTACAAAGGCTTAAGAGAAGAGAAGAAAAGCACATCTGCAAACCTTCAACAAGAAAATGTTCTGTATAAAAGATATATTAATGAATTACCAGAGTAAAAGGGAATGACGGTAATTAGCTCATTTCGTCAAAGAAATCGTACAAAATTCTAATTCCGTTTTTAATCAAATAAAAAGAGAAAACCAATCTTAATATGTTCGAACCTCAGCCAGTAAACACGCAATCCTTCAATTAGCTTTCAGATTTGATGATTAATTGAATACGCATTGGCCCAATTTGAATAGCTTGTTTCAGGGATAAATTAAACATAAGAGTGAAATGCACTCACGGCTGTGCCAACATCATGGGTAAGGCGTTCTCCTGGATTCTGGATGGTCTGTTGAAACCCATGTTGTACACACCCTTCAGAAGCTCAGGTTTCCTATTGATCATCAAGACACAAAGAAAACACAAAGTGAACTGTGGGTGGGATGGAGAGAGAGAGAGAGAGAGACGATGCACCTGTTTGGGAGGGGGGTCCCACTCACAGCCTGAGCTCCTCAAAGGTCTTCACTGAGTACAGGGGAGAGGTGGGGTCCCTCTGCAGAACCTCCACCTGATTCCTGTTGCGGACTAAAGACCTGCGAATCAGTTTATTCAACAGGGACTGCTCAGCCAGGTCCACTTTGTCCCCGTCAGCTCGCACACCTCCATTTTCTTTTCTCTCTGGCACCAGGTTGCCTGCACAGATGGAGGGGGGGAGAAAAACACATCATAAACACCTTTACACACCTCCAGGTTGATGTTTATAACTTCAAATAAAGTTACCGTTTATGTCTCCTCTCATGTGGCGTGGACCTCGCACTCTTTCCAACTTTTTGGAGAAGTCAAACTAAGACAAAACACATTGTTAGTTGTGAATTAGGCCTGTGTTGAGTTAGCAGGTTAGCTGACTGGCTAAGCTGCTATCTCCCCATCAGCAGGTTCATTTCATATAACGGGTTACTTTTGTTTTTAAACCCCGTTGGTCACCTTTAAATTTACCTGCTTTGCTGGAGTTGTAGCCTCTTGAAAGTCGACGGCCACGGCCCACGAGTCGGCAGACATTTTCAAACTTTTTTATTTTTTTTTGTTGCTGCGTGTTTCTTTCGAGAACAAACGACACTTTTATCAAAAAGTTTGATGTCAGCGTGAGCGACGTGCAGCTGTTGCCCCTGACCTGCCCTGGACCACACCACTGATGCTGCATTCAAGAGCATTGGAAATATGTCAACTTTTAGTTTAATAAAATAAATACATTAAAATCAATTAACTTGATTGAATGAAATAGCCGAGAAATGTGTTGTATTTTGAAACGTTCACAGTAAAAAAAAAAAAAATATGTCCGTTGACTTTTGACGGGGAAAGTTCAGGAGAAGTTTGATCTTCATTATATTTCTCGCTTTGGCGGCTGTTTTACTATTTCATCTCTGCGTTTATGATTTTTAACAGTAACATATGTTTATTTAGTGGTGTTTTAACTTTAAGTGTAACAGTTAAACAAAAAAAATAATGCGTTAATGCGTTATTTGTCCTAATTACGAGGTTTGAAATTAACCCATGAAGGTAGCATATTACTCCCAGCCTGTTTACAGATGACCCTGCTGACACGCCTATGATGACACATGATAAGGTATTTAACCCAATCAAAAAAAGTCGATTTGACTATTCTTCATCAAAAATCACTTTACATCTTTTTCATCTTTGGTTGCCACATTTGTCTTGTACAGCCTGCGGTTATGATTGACCGCAATGCAAATGTAAGTAGGCTACTTATAAAATGTCTCTGATTTTTACATTAATATGTCACTACTGACTGTTAGAGGAAGCTGATGAAAACATCTTATCAGATGAGGGAGGATACAGTTGATACAGAAGTGAAATGAGGTTAAAAATCTTTAAAACAACAACTTAATTTAATAAAAAAAAATATCGTACAATGATAAAACTTTGACCTTTTCTCTACAGCTTTTAATACAATAATAAAAGTGATTCAGCAACCTCCACAGTAAAATGTAGCCTAACTGTTACAGCTTCTTAATAAGCTTTGAAAACCAATTAAAAATTATAATTTAGAAATGGACCACATGGGGCCACAGAATAAAAGACAAAATATAAATACAAGGTGTGCACAAGTGGAGGGATTTAACAACATAGTCAAATTGAAGGCATATTGTGCTAAATTGTGCAGGAAATAAAGAAGTCTTCAAAATGGTGAATTCAGCTTTGCTGACTGCCATGCGTGGACCTCCAAAAATAATCAATGAATGAGATGCATTCAATGAACAATACAGCTATGGTGAGTCCTGACACTGCAAAGGCTACAAATACAATTTCACACACTTCTTCCAGAGGTTGGCGTACAGTTTTGTCCCGGTGTCATTTTTGTAGTGCTGATGGATTCCTGGATGAAAAAAAAAACTGCAATGGGTGGTTTTTCTACCCAGGGATAGGCCCTACTGAATGAAATTAACACCATCACACTGGGTGAAAGCACCCCATTTACAGGGGGTCAGGCTAGGTCAGGTTAACTCATTATTGTGTATCTATTTTCACCAATGTTTTCCAGTGAGAAATGACAATACTGTCAGCTCTGTAGTGCAGAATCAGGTTGGAATTGCATTACAGGTTGGAATACAATGTTCTTTTATTTGAGTTGAATTAAGTATGAGTGTGTGTTTGTGACCGTCTTAGAGAGGTTGAGGCACTGATGAAAAGGGAGAGGAAGGGGATGGGGGGGGGGGGGGGGGGGTTGCCGAGTGTTATTGGCTGCAGGTTGATTCAATTTGGAGGCGGATGTTGAGCATCAGCCAAACCCACCTACACTCACACACTCTCACACACACAGATAACACAGGCAGAGATAATCAAGATTTGGTAACCGCCAAAATGACTTTATGAACACTCATTAATCGCCATGGTAACCTCAGGAAAGCAGATGGATCAAAACGAGTGATCAGAAAATACAGAGACAGCCAAACACCCACAATGGATTTAAACATTGACAAGCTGTCCAATCGCACAGGAGGGAGGAGGGGTGAGAGATTAAAGGTGATATGGGGGGGGGGGGGGGGGGGATGCAGTGATCACCACACATCTGTTTCTCTCCTGGTGTTTCAGTGGCATGTCAATCAGTCTCACTGTGGGCTATTAAAAAGAATACCTGAATGGTTTGTGTTTTCATCAGGGAGGGCTGGACTGAGTGGGTGGTGCTGATGCTGATGCTTTGGATGTGACGGAAAGGGGGGTGTTTATTGGAAGACCCGTGCCCCCTCTCCCTCTCTGCCTCTCTCTCTCTCTCTCTCTCTCTCTCTCTCTCTCTCAAATCCTTCTAACTCCAGCATCGACAGGGGAAGAGGGGGAGGAAGAGGAAAACAAATAAAACTGTTTTTTTCTTTTTTTGCAACCACATGTTGCCGTGTGCTTGATTGCAGCAGCTTCTCCGCCAACCTTTCCCTCTCTCTTTGCGCCGTGCGTCCAACCAGCAATGTGGCCGCTGCATATGTAGCTTCTACCACCTGTGGCAGCACTCCTGTTCCCTCTACGCCACCAAGAGAGAGAGAACAAAAAAAGGGGTTGGAGAAGAGGAGGATATCTTTCATGATAAGTGGACTTGTGACAAGGAGAGATCCTCGCTGCAAACCCAGCTGACACAAATGAAAGGTAAGATAATGAGGCTGATATTGTGCTCATATCAGATGCATTGTTATTGCTGCAGTGTGTCCTTTTGATGATGTTTATGTTCATGTTTTACCCATCTCTGTCACATAATTTAAAAATGAAGAAAAGGTTGACTAGGTAGATCATTAAAAACTACCGGCGATGCATGTGGATTAACGCTGTAAACAGATTTCCAGACACGGTGTTCCAACAGGTGGTTAGCGCAGCAGCAGCATCTGCTCTCTGTTTTTTGACACTAATGAGTGCAGAGGAGTGTGGCATTGCTGATAGAAAATATGGAGAGTTGATGGTTTTTGCTGGTGTTTAAAGCAAACCCCCCCCCCACCCAGAGAGAGAGGCTTGGTGACTCATGTGATGGGAGAGAAGCATCCTGGGACTTCCACTTTTAACACTAATTACCAAAAGCTGAAAGACCGTAGAGAGAGTGACGTCTTGAAGGGAAAAACTGTCAAATGTAGTTTTATAAAGCGTGCGACTAAGTTATGTAGAAATTCAATGTGGTGGATCTTTAATTTCACATAAATATGTATTGATGTTCTCTATATCTCATCAATGAATATGTCATCTTATCACTGTCAGCATCGGGTTAGTTTGCAGCTCGACAGCGCTTTCATTTGTCTTTTTATTAAGTCTTTTCTTTTTTCACCTGTTTGAGTAGATTGTTTCCGTAGAGGGACAAAGGATCAATCTGTTGGTGACTGGACACATGATGGCGCTGTTGAGGCGAACACCAAAGTAGTAATTACATCTCTGTGACCTTTTCTTCACCGTAACTAACCATTTGGTGCCTGAATCCCTGTGTTGCCTATTAAAGAGACTGATCGACTTTTTTTATTGATTTTTGAACAGGCTTATTATGCAGCCAAGGAGAGGCAAGGGAAGTTTTTTCTTTTGAGTATAGTTTGAATTTTCTAAGTGCTATTGAAATTTTGTAGTGAGGTGAAACCACCACAAAAGAAAAAAAAGATCGACTGGTGTTTAATTGCAATTAGTCATGATATCAAAAATAAATGCACTATTCACAGATGTTAATGGTCAGTCTGCAGGCAAGCAATCAAGCAAGCAGAGCTGTCTCTATGGAAATTGCTTTCGTCAGAACACTTCCTATCAAGCCTGTGCTGGGGATCTGGTCGTGCAGCAGGCACAGACCCTTGACAGCACATAACCAAGATTGCTTGTAGAGGAGACGGCATTAACAATAAAGCGCAGCACAGGGAGGAATAGAATTATAACTCGCCTAATTAGCTGCTGTGCCGTCCTCCATGAGATTTATCTGTATCTAAGGTTTCTGGTTTTCACTGGATACTGTTTTCCTCCTGTTATGTTGTGTTGTGATGATGAAACAGCCTTAAATTGCTCTGACCTCTTATCCACCGGTGTCACCCAAAGGCCCTCTTGATTTTTACCTCGGCTCTTATCATAAAAGATGATTGAGGTTTGGATATCTATAAAGCCAACTTGACTGATTTGATGTCCAAGGCTGCTTTCATCTTGTTCTGGATTCAGTGATGAGACACTGGCTTGTGTTTGATATCACTGCTAGGTAAATAAAAGTTGAAAAAAAGAGAAAAAGAAAGGTTTTTGCCATTGTAAGTGTATTTCTTTAGAGAATTACATTAATTAAATTAAATTAAATTGCATAAACTAGCACCTACATAAATTTGCTTATTGATAATTGTTAAATCATTTTCCATTTGCTAACTGGTGAGACAACAATGCTAAAATAATCCTCGTCAAAAATCTCCATTCGATTGTTCTTAACAAGACTGTAAATGCCGTCTACACAGTAAGTTAGCTCACTAGCGAGATATAGCTGTGAGGTCATAACACAACATGAAAGTGAAGAACTACTGTTAGCGGCAGCCGCTAAATGTTGTAGCTAGTTGATTCAGAGATAGTTGCCTTTGTTTCTTTTTATTTTTAAACATATTTCTCAGAGACAGAGACACAACTCCCTATAAAGATAAAAAATGAAGTATTTCTGTGTGGTTGGGCAAGTGAATAACACTAGCTAACAATTTTAACGAGTTGGGCTTTTTATAGGGCATGACATTACCGCTAAGGCGAGGCGATTGGCTAACCAGTTAGCCTCCTCCTAGATATACAGCATGAGCAGTAACCTAGATTTATTAAGCAGTGTCTGGTTATTATGTGTATTAGTAGCAGATGCTTGATTGTTTCTTCACAGTAACAGCCAGACTATGACCCAGAAACTTTGTGATTGTTGCTCTGGCTAATTGGAGCAGTTGTTGGACTTGCTAGCATTGAGTCAATAAGTGATTTCTATGATGCTACAAAAGAACTTGAATTATTGCATTAAAAAGAGTTTGGATCCCATTTCCCTTTTTGATATTGAACATTATTAACTGATGGATTCTTTTTTTTTTGTCATACTTTGGCAACAAACCAGAATCCTAAAACCAGCACCATGCCTGGACTCATTAACAAGGAGAACCGGAGCGCCCTGCCCCTCAGCGTCTCTGACATCACTTCCTGTGTCAGGGGTTACACTCTGGCCATGTCAGCCTCTATGACCTATGAAAACATTGAGGATCATGCAATCGAGGGTGAGTGTGTTCACAACAGGAGACTAATTTGTTTACATCAGCTGTGTGGATGCCTGTTACTTTCAAATACTATCCGCTCTGACACACACTGTTATAATATTCAGTATGATACACTGAACATGTTTAGTCTAATTGCTTATTTGCTGCCTCTGGTTCATGCCCTTATTTCGTTTTTTTTTCTCTGTCAGGGATGTTCATTTATCCACTGGAGGAGAATTCCATCGTCGTGGGGTTCGAGTCAATGATATCCAGTCAGATTATAACTCTGCAAATCAAAGACAAGGCAAAAATTGACGACTGTTATTTGGATTGCTGCAACACATCTAATGGAGCCCTTCAGAGTGGCAGTGGTAAGGTTAAAGCTCCACTAATCAATAGTATTACAGTATTTATTTTATTAGCTAGACCCACTTATCTTTGGGCGTTTTAACTGTGTGAGAGGACTAAACAGAGAAACAGAGAATAAGAGTTCCCCATCATCTCTTTGGAATATTTTTCAGCTCATTGTTTTTTGTTCTGTCCTACCACTTAACTGTTTTGATTCTCTGTCAAGTCTCTGTAAGTGTTTTCAACGCTTAAACTCAGATAAACCTTTTTTAACACAACCTGTTCAGCATCAATTGGACATATTGAGGTATAAAGTTGCCTAACTTTCCACTCCTAATGAACGGCAATGTGACTTTGTGTCTGCTAGATGTTAATAGGTCATATATACTCCAAGTGCTCGAGTTTAAAGCTTGTTGTGCTGCCACCAAGTGCCCAAAAATAATTCCAATGTACGTTAAAGAGGCTTCCACTGATTTCTTCTCTCCTAATTGGACTTCTGTCTAATGTGTTGTGTTAAGTAATTTGTGTGTCTTGATGGATGTCACTATCTTGTTGGCTGCAAAAGAAATCCACCCACAGGTGCAAATTAAGTAAGCTGAACCTGAACCTTAATCTGTGTGCCAGATGCCGTATGCATAATCAGTTAGAGATAATTATAGGTTACAGGCAATTGGTAGTGACATTAATGTATGGTACTTCACGTAAACAAAGAAGTAGAGAAACCCTTGAAAGATGGATGACGACTAATGCAAGCCTGAGTTTTTACTTAAGATGCAGCTGACTCAGTTTTCAGAGCTCCATCTTACAGACACTGGAGAGAAATCACACGTAATCATACTAATCTTGTCTGGTGTTCCAGGCCACATAGTGATGGATGAGGATTTGGAGAGAACAGTGTTAGTGGTTAACCTCGGGATGATCCCGCCCATGGAGACAGTCCATGTGCTGGTTAGCACCTCCTCTGAGCTCTCCACCCTGCCCAATGGAGGCATCAAGGTGTCCTCCCCACCGGTGTGCACACCTCGAGTGCAGAGGACCATCAATGAGGAGCAGGGACTTTCTCCAAACTTCTCCAGAACGTAAGAAACAACTGAAACAACTTTAGGCCTGCTTTTTTTTTTGATATGGTAGTGTATTTTGAAGCAGGATTTAACACTGAATTTCTGCTGCAAAATTAAAGTTTGTATGCATGGTAAAATAATTGAACCAACCGTTTTTTTTTGTTTTTTTGTTTTTTTTTTTAAAGCTGCTTTTTATGTAGATATGCTGTGTTTCTCCTAGGCGTGACAGGAACACCTGTGCCTCTAGTCCTCACGATCAAACTCCCAACACACCTCCTCAGCTGTGGCTTGCTTCACTGCTGGAGGAGGAGACCATCAACTCCATGGACTACGAGTTTAACTTCCAGCTGGAGATACGGGCTCCCTATCTCCTCGCAGGTCAGAAACCTAACCAAAATGAGTCGCATGTTTGATGGATTATTTCATTGAGTGCGTCATAAGGTTTGAAGACGTCATACCTTTTTAGCCTGTTTGTATAATGGTTTGAGAGGCCCGGTCACTTGAGCTATCTGGATTATAAGCATTGCATTCCAGTGCTCTTCGAAAGCTTTCAACTTTGCAAAAGAAGTCGTAGTTGTGACGCATCCTTCAGTGAAGTGCACCAAAAGAAAAACAGTGCTGCTCTCTTGTGTCACTTGTGAAAAGGCAACGCTAACATAACTTGGAAAAACAAAGATCCATTTTTATGGAAAGAGCATGAAAATATGCAAATCATTTATTAACAACTGAAAGTACTAACAGCAATAAATACTACCTTAACACATAAAGACAAACTACCAGTAGCCTGTTGACAATAGAATTTTAATCTACAATAAATCCAGTCTCTGATTAGACAAATAGCCAATCATAGATTTGGACTTTGGGCTGGCCAATCAGATTTCAAGGGGGGCCCAGTTTGAGTAGAAATAAATAACTTCCCTGGCAAAGAAGTACTCAGGGCCTTAATCCCATGTGTCAATAAGGACCTGCTTCCAGGCAGAATTGTTACCTTTGAACAGAGCCAGGCTAGCTGTTTACCTTGTTTCCAGCCTTTATGCTAAGCTAATAGCGCACTGCCTATAACCTTATTTTTCAAACCAACACGAGCGTCAATCAGACTTCATATCTAACACTCAACTAGACAGAGGGAAAAGTCTATTTCACAACATCAAATTCTCGTGGAATTACAGCTAATTATCATATAACTTAAGAAAAACAATGATAGCCAGGTAAAATGATGTGGGCTCATAGCTATGATATGATATAAGGGGGCGGCTGTGACTCAGTGGTAGAGCGGGTCATCTCTTAAGCGGAAGGTTGGGGATTTCGATCCCCAGCTCCTGCAGCCTTGGCAAAGACACAAAACCGCAAATTTCTCCCGCTGCTCCCTTGGCAGCGTATGAATGTGTTTGGATTAGTTAACGCTGATGGACACTTTACGCTGCAGCCTCTGCCATCAGTGTGTGAATTGAAAGGTGTTTTAAAAGAGCTTTGAGTAGTCAGACGGCTAGAAAAGCCAAGTCCATTCACCATGTCAGTGGGATATGCTGGTTTGTGATTGCTGTTATTACAGCAGGTGGGTTATTTAATCCGCTGGTTTAATAACAGGTTGTTGTCTTGTGTAGGTGTGGAGAGTCCGTCTCACGCTATCCGAGCCGATGCGGACCCTCTGGCCCGCTCTGCCACCAGCGTCGTGATCACTCTCGCCGACAAGTACACTTACGACTGTCCTGTGGAAATCCTCATCTACCCGAGCGGTGAGTCCACACACAGCCTCCAAAACACACTCACCTATCTCAGCCCTGCAATCATTCTCTCCTCTTCTCTCAAGTACAATATTTTGAAATTGTTTATTTCGGCGCTGTCGGGCTTCTTTTACAGGGTTTTTTTGTGTGTGTGTGTGTGTGTGTGTCAGGCTCATAAAGAGATCAGTTGTGAGGTGATTCACTGACTCACTTTTTGTGCGTGAGTGCCTCATCAGGAAAAAAAAAAATTGCCCTCCTCTTATTATTCTATGACATACCAGCAGACTCAGACTTCTTTGTGTGGGTGTGCATTGTCAGGGCTTCCCCCCCCCCCTTGCACTCTCTGTCTTTCTCTGACTGCCTTTTTGACCTACGCAGTATGTGTGGGCCAGTTGTCTCCCAGAGGCAGGAGCGAGCGCCGGCCTCGCTGATCCTCTTATGAAGGTTTCCTTAACAAACAGAGCAGCTGCCGGTGCTCGGCAATCTAATTCAGCTCAGACTGCTGCTCCTGTTTCAATCACCATATGGATGCTCAGCTTGATGGAGAGATGGGGGAAACTGAGCCGCATAACAGACATGTCAATTAAATGATTCGAGGGTTCATTTGGATATTTTGTAACAATATAAGAACTTAATTTTATAACTGTTTTTATCGATGAAAACCAGAAAGGGGGATAAGACCACAAGTTGTTCTAATTTATGCATACATCATTCATATTTCATTTATATTCATATGACATCTTTGTCGTTATATCCCTGCAGAATCTAATGACAATGATTTAATAATATCATTAAAGGCTTTATATTTGATTTTTCACACTTAAATGTAATATAAATCAAGTCTATCCTCTGAAAATAACTCTGTGAGTCATGACTGTCTACAATGGTGTAACACCTGAGTCCCACTGTCTGTGATGCTTTCAGAGTTTTCAGAGTCCTATCTTCACTTTGTTTACATCGCCAGGACGGCCGGCTGACTCCTCCCCTCGTGTATAAAAGTTTTTTAATTGAGGGACTAGAGAAAATAAGAATAACATACTGTACTCACTGCTTAACTGTGTTTCTAGATCACGCTCATTTCAGGTAAATTTACATGCAGTGTGAAGATACGAGCATAATAAAGATCGCCAGCATTAGCATGCTAACACAACAATGCACGGCGAGTTGTTTTGGTTTCATGCTGGTGCTCAAGGGCGACATCTGCTGGATCAAAAAATCGCATATAAAGCCTGTAACTAAAAGGTCACTCGGAGAGTGCAGACCTCTGCAAAGGTCAGTCCTCCATGATACGTGAATCTGCAATTGCAATCAGTATAGTCACTAAACATATATTTGTGGAAATCAGAAAACACTTAATTATCATGTCCATGTACTTAAATGTGAACTGTTTGGATGCAAACCAAATTATGAAAATGGCTTGTAATGGAAGGAAGTTGTTACAAAAAGCTATATGCTGAAATGAAAGAAATGTAGATCCACTTTGATGTAGAAACTGATTCTACAATTTGGATGACAGAGCTCGTTTTTGTAATGCAAACATGTTATGGGTTCCTTCATCAACAATGCCATACTGTTCCACAAAGTTTTAGTTAAATGTGACTAATCATGTTAAGATGATCCTGCTGACAAAAAAACCCCTAGAAAACAGACAAAGGTTCTTAATCATGAAACGTAACTTGGACTTGGCTTGAGAGATGACGGAGACATGATAGATAAATTAACCAATTTCAAACCAACTTCACTTTTTAATTCAAGGTTCACATTTGGATTTGACTCAAGGTTTAACGTCTGGATCAAAAGTACTCAGGAGTTCCTTTAGACACATTTGACTTAAAGCTCCTGTGAGGAGGAACGTTCAGTCTGTGTTGATTTTGGCGCCCCCTTGTGGACAACGGGGGCAACTGTTATCTCTTTGCTGGTTTTTGTCCTGCACATGATTAAGTAGTTATTGTTTTTTGAATCTCATCCTGCTCATTTTCACTCATTGTCAATATTTGCTGTGAAAAATGTAAAAAGAAAAGTACAAAATCAGTTTTTGCAGCATGATGTCAGTGACTTTGTCGGACACATACACTACAGCAGACGTTTCAGGCATTAAAAAGAACTATTTCAAAATAATCAGTGTATTTACTGATGGTCTTGTTTGCCTTTGTGGCTCATAAAGAGTCATCAAAACTGTTATTTAGTTTGTTTTACAGCAAGTTAAAACCTCCTCACAGGAGCTTTAAATCACAAATGATATTGCCTGGAGCTGGTAAGTACAATATTCAGAACCTGTTCATGTCAAAACATGTCAAAACAACTTAAGGAAGGATAGATATCTAAAGACAATATAAATGCCTTTTCAGACTAAAAGGCTCTACAGATATTATCTAATAAAGAGAAACAGCTTAAATCCCCAGGATGCTCTTAACCCTCTGAGTAAATTGTGTTTTTCTTTGTATAAATATCAGATTAATTCTCCTTTACACATTTCCACTTCCTACCCAGACGCTCTTCTTCTACCTCGTGTCATTTCCAGACATTGTCCATCAGTTTTATTGTGCATCTGTATTAATAGTTATGTCTGTGTCCTTTCAAACTGTGTCCCCGCAGAACCTCATCTGCCCCATGTGCTCATTGAGAACGGAGACATGACGCAGGAGGAGTACGACGAGTTCCTTCACGGCCGGAGCGATTTTATCAAGGCCACCAAGAAGGACTCCAGCAACGAGAGGAAAGTGAGTGTGTCAGCTGCGTTATTACCTTTGCACGAACTGATGGCAACAGTGAAGACTACAGTGCAATGTCACAAACAACGCCCTGCAACAGAAGCCATTTGTGTTCATGTCCCATTATTTCATCACTCCATTGATCTGCGCACGCACACAGCATCAATTTATCAATCGGCCTGCCAAGTCTGAATGTGCAATCAAGATAACAAACCCCATCCTCCTTCACAGACCTGATCACGTCACATTTTTACACAAGCACGTTTCTGATAAATACCTCATTAACTGTCCCAAGCCCACAAATTTATATTTTAATATTCAAGTTTTTTTTACAAGTAAAGCTGAACACATTTTGTTTTTTTAATGTCAAATAATAATTTTGTCCCTCTCAAAAGTGCACAGCAGACTGGAGAAGATCCTGCAGTAAGGACCGCTTTGTAACAAAAAAGGGAATGAATTGTGATTAGGGAATTGGTATGAATAAAAAATTGTGACCCCCAATAATCTAAATTGAATTGAATTGGGAGATATTGAAAGATTCCCACCTCTAGTTTTCATTTCTTTTTTCTCTCTATGAACCGTTCAATGTACGTTTTATAGCCTATTGATGTTATACTCTTTGAATGCTTTGCCCTCAAACCCTTTTTCTTGACTTATGATGTGGATATCTTCATTTGGCAGAATGGATTTTCACAATTCAGACTGCCGTGGAACGTATATCTCTCCCTTCTTCTAAAAAGTTAAAGAGCAAAGATTACCCCTAACCATCTCAGAGATGTGTCCTTTCACATCTCTGAGATGATGAGGTTGTTAAGTGACCGGCAGACCTAAACAGGGGAAGCAGAGAGAGAGAGAGAGAGAGAGAGAGAGGGGGAGAGCACTTAGCCATAAAAATGTGTTTCTATGGAAACACTCCAAATGCTCGCCTCAGTCTGCCCGGAATTTCCTGCGCATCTAGAATAATTGATGTGCTCTGTCTATCGACCTGATTACGTGCCTATTTTTTTTGTCTCTTTTCTTGCCTTCTTTGAGTGTTAAAATCAATCCTCCTCAAATTCTGAAAATGAAACAGTTATCTAAAGAGCCAGAGTGCTTTTACATTTTTAGTCCTTTGCCTTTTTTCACAGGTGGATATCATTCACAGGCGCCTCCACAAAGACATCCTCCACAACCCCGTGGTCATGTTAAACTTCTGTCCCGACCTCAAGTCCATCAGCGCCGACCTGAGGAAGGTTCACGGCGAGTTCATCTTCCTCATTGACCGCAGCGGCAGCATGAGCGGCGTGAACATCAACCGCGTGAAGGTATTTTTAAAGTCAGTGGCGTGTTATGTTTCTCATCATACGTGAAGGCACACACTGATCAAATATAAATCACCATACAATGGCACATGATTTAAGTTAAGAGGTGGCATTTTCCTAAAAAATATTTGCAGATTACACAGATTTTACAAGTGAATAATGGGAAATGTGGGAAAGGAGCTGCAGGTCAGATTCAAATCCCTGGCCTCCGTTCTGTATATGCGGTGCAACCTAACCGCTAGGCCATCTGGACCCAATGAGAGACTTTATTATTTTTTTTTTTTAAAGATTTTTTTTTTGGCTTTTTGTGCCTTTTATTGGAGATATAGGAAATCAGGTAGAGAGAGTGGGGAATGACATGCCCAGGCCGGATTTGAACCCAGGCCGCCCACCCGGAGCACCACAGCCTCCATACAAGGGGCGCGTGAACCAACCACTGCGCTACCAGGGCCCCAGAGACTTTATTTTTAAACCTGTTTGAATGTCATTCGGCTGCTTGTGCACCGACCTTGCCTTGACGAGTGGCTGACCGGTGTTAATTTGTGACTCAGATTTAAGCTTTTAGTGGATGTGTCTGATAGTTCAGAGTCTGGGCTTACAGCCAGGACAGCGAGGACAGTGATGTAATGACTTTTTCTCTTAAACACTGATCTTGCAGGAAATCTTACTATTCTTTCTGAAATAAGACTAAAAACTGGAAAAAAAAAAACGACCTATTGAATTTTTGCTTTGTTATTGCACCTAAGCTGCCATCTTCACAATAGATGTCCTGCTCCTTCTGCTCTTCATCTAAGTGAAGGTTCAAGATAAGTGGTTTCCCTGTGGAAACTGCCGCAGAAGAAGCAGTGAAGGATGAAAGGACACGGCATGATGCCACTTTCCACTCACTCCTCTCATCGAGAAAGTCGGCTGTGCGCTGATGACAGCTGTGCAGAGAGCACTGCGCCTCCATTGAAACAGACATCAGAAGACGCTAGACGTAGCTGCACCGCCGCGGAGATGATCAGAAAGTTTAACAGGACATTAAGCACCTAATGAGCAGAAGAGGATTCGTCTTTTTATTTTCACAGTCGATGTCCTGTTCTTTTATGGTGGACCTGAACTTAATCTGCTCTCTCTCTCTCTCTCTCTCTCTCTCTCTCTCTCTCTCTCTCTCGCCCTCTTAGGATGCCATGGTGGTGATTCTGAAGAGTCTTGTGCCCGGCTGTCTTTTTAACATCATAGGCTTCGGCTCAACTTTCAAATCACTTTTCACAACCAGCCAGAACTATGAGGAGGTAAAGTGTAGTGTGTACATTGTTGTTTGTACTTACACTGTAAACGACTGTACGCGAGGAAACAAGCGTGGGTGACTGAGACACCCACCATGCGAGACAGAGCGCTACCGCAGGTCTTTCATTCCACCTGTGGTCAGACTGTTTAATCAGACTCTTTAACAGCATCACCACCTCATGACTCATATCAATAATGCTACACACTGTGTGTGTTTTTAATAATAATAACTCCACAAGTGGAAGTGTACATACCTAGGATTATTCTATTATTCTCCCTTTATTTAACTGATGTACATATGTTTGATTTTTAACTTCTTGTTATTTTTGATAATTATTTTCCTGTTTCTTACGACGGAGGATTAGTACCACATTAAAAAAACAAAAAACATTTTGAGATTAAAGTCGTAAATTTAGCCGTAGCCGTAGCCGAATTCAAGACCAGCCTGCGAGAAAATGATGAAAGTAGAACTCTTAAAGTCTTTGAAGAATAAAGTGTTTATTTTAGTCTATATCAGAAGAGCAGCAGCATCCTGTTCTCAAATGACCAACATGGAGCATGTTGTCCGAAAGGTTTCACTAATAAGGAAATAGGCTACTTCCTTGTGTAGTCGGTAAAAACAATTATTTCAAGAGAAGTTTTCACTTCAACTTGTAAGACCTTGTTCGTCTGTAAAATGATGAACAGGACACAAACTGTCTCTGCACATGAGACAGACTTTAACAAGGCAGACAGATAACAGACAAACAGTTGTGTTGGGGCTTTACTTATGCACATATGAAACTACACATGCTTTTGGCACATCATCATCTTCACATTGTCATAAAATATCAGCACCCTGAAAAGATACTGCAAGAAACTGAAGAAAGAACCACACTGACTTGGAGGAAGTTGTCTGCAGAGGAAATACTTATTTTATTACTTGGCTGGTCTCGAACTCGTTAATTTACGAGTTTAATCTCGTAAATTTACGACTTGAATCTCAAATTATTATTATTATTTTTTTTTATCTTTGTCTTTTATCTTTATTTTATCACTGAATTGTATCCACTCCTGAACTCACCTGATCGTTGTCATTGGCTCAAGGAGACACATTCACTCCCTGCCCAGAAATGTCCTGAGTCAACCAGAAAAAGCTCTGTACTCTCTTAAAACTTGGCAATAAATGCTGCATGAAGTATAATCTAACTTGATGCAGAATTAATGGACATTTATTTTTACAGTATTTTTATGAACCACAGCATTTAGTATTGTGGCGATACCTTCATGTTGTCCTCCACAGTAGCTGCTGGATGCTTATCAAGGGTTAATCGTTTACAAAGAAATTAACCTCAACATAATCTGACTGTGATCGTTCTGCAACTCCTTTACTTAAGACTCTCAACACAAAATAACACCAGGCAACTCTTCCTCACTCTTCGTCGGCGTATTTGCAGAATTAAAAATAACTGTACTGCAAGTCAAGAAACCTGAAGTTTTCTTTTCTTTTCTCAGGAAGCTCTGGCTCTGGCTTGTGAGTATGTCAGGAAGATCAGAGCTGACATGGGGGGCACCAACATCCTGGCTCCGCTCAACTGGATCCTGAGGCAGCCGATGTTCAGCGGACACCCACGCCTCCTCTTCCTGCTCACTGACGGTGCCGTCAGCAACACGGGCAGAGTTATCGAGCTGGTTCGCAGCCATGCACGCCACATCAGGCAAGTGCTAATGCTGACTGAATGAGTCTAATGTGGAAAAAGCTCAGTGAGTGACATCGTTAAGGCTATATGTAGAAGTGTCTTAAAATAAGCTTATCAAGGTACATTGATCGCAAAAGTGCAAATGTAATGCTAAATGTAACAGCAGCTGTTGTTAGATCAATGTGTGGTTAATCATGTGTTGGAGAAAGCTGCTCGGTTAAGCATGTAAGTGGCTTCTGTAGCAGTAACAGCACAGGCAGAGAAGCTGCTGTGTCAAAGCAAACAACAATAAATTCCTCTTTTGTTTATTCCCATTATGCAAATAGAAAAAGCATCACTCAAGGATAAATTCACCTCCAGGGATTGTCATGGGCTTTGACTGAGCACCTGGCGGAGGAGCTGTAATCCTCTCAAAATGAAATCTGAGAACATGCATTGAATGTTGTCTGATTGTCTGACATTGTATATATATCACAGATGAGAACGTGTCAGAAGGGGACAAATGTGCAGCCTTGATTTAAGATGAAAAAAACAGAAACAACATCGTTTTAAAGCTTCATCTAGACAGAGGGAATAAAACTCTTCCCCGCTGGATGCGAACATCAGCTGTCGGCTGAGAGTGAGCGCCGGTGGCACAATAGATCTGCTGTACGCCGAGAAATTCATTTTACTCTGCGGCCTGTGTCTCAGTCTCACGCTGAGAATCCCTCTCCTGAGTCACTCTGGAAATAATTGACTTTTATGTTCCTCCTCCCTTTTTAATGGATGACTGGCCCCCAGATGATTGTGTTAGGTATACAGAGCTTGGCCAATTCGTCGACACTTCCTGGGTCATTATCACACTCTGCTTACAAATCAGCGCAGCCAGTCATGGGGGCGAGACCAAACAACGATTAATCTCCGTGCCGAAAATCCATGTTAGGGTTTTTAACTTTGTAGGAGGTGACATTTCCATTTTAATTTGTGCTCTTTGATCTCATTAAAAATGCAAAGGGAGAAAGCTGGTGCAACGGAATTAGCCGGTCCATCCGTTGATGAGAAACGGAAATATAAAAATTAGGAATTAAAGCATCAGCAAAACCCCTCGAGAGAACCCACGTCTCAAATCTCCATCACATCCTGTTTGGCTTTTCATCCCCTCCCCAGACTTGTTTGAATAATGAGATTGTTTTTTGGTTACATATATCTCCGGAGTGTCTTTTTTTAAATCTCTTTAAGATGGGAACACATCCCGACAAGCCACCTGTTATCATGCACAATATATCTCTGGATCTGTCCACGGAGACGTTGTGTCTGATGTGTTTGTGCAGATGTTTCACGTTCGGCATAGGACTGAATGCTTGCAGGCGGCTGGTGCAGGGACTGGCGACGGTTTCCAAAGGAACAGCGGAGTTCCTGGCTGAGGGAGAGAGGCTGCAGCCCAAGGTACTCGTTTCAAGCTCTGTGTATCACTCCTAAAACAAAGGCAAGCCACTGCTGGGCCATCATGCAGTAGTAGCTAAGAACTTAGTATCTTCCACTCATACCAAATATCAAACCTAGTGCCGTCAATCGATTAAAACAATCACGATCTTAAAGTACTTGTATTTACTTTTTTAACTTGAAATGTACCACATTGAGATGTTAAGAAAGCTACTAGCGTCATTTTCCCTCAAAGTCCAGAAGGATAGATTCTACAGGATTTGGACCAAATGGACTGAATATGTCAAACCTGTAAGACCTGATTTTATTTGACTTATTGGAGTACATGGGTGTTATTTCCTCATTTTTGTCATTTTCTTTCATCCGTTAACCTGCTCTGTATTTAATTTTCTTATTTCATTTCTCTACCCCTCCAAGGTGAAAGCTTCCTGTGTTCTTTTGTAAATAATGTCATGTTACTTGAATATGAAAAAATCTTTGGAAGAGCTAAGTTGTTAAATATACTGCAAGCGTCATACCCACCTCTTTCTGCAAAGGAAGCGCTCCAGTGTTTGAAAGTTTGAGGGAGGAGTCTTGCATTTATTCTGCTATTATGTGTAATTACTAATGTGTGAAGAATGCTTTTCCTAAATAAAAAAAAAAATGGAAAAAAAAGAAAGCTACCAGCAGCTTGTATCAACACAGACCAAATAGTTGATTTGGAATTTTGGGATGGCCCATTATATTTCAAGTGGGGCCCTTGCCACTCCCTAGATACGCCCCTGCCTGCCCAGGTGAAATTAGCTGAGGAACATCCTGCCCATCGTGCTCACCACTGGGACGTTATGGATGCAAACACAAGACCCCTCAAACAACCATGTCTGCACTTTGCACAAACGTAAAAACCACATGTCGCCGTGTATTTTAGTCGGCTTTTTTTCTTTGCTCCACAGATGATAAAGTCCTTGAAGAAAACCATGTCTCCAGTTCTCAGCGACATTTCCATCGAATGGCTCTTTCCTGAGACCAAAGAGGTGCTGCTGTCCCCCGTGGGCAACACCTTCCTGTTTCCAGGGGACAGTCTCATCGGCTACGGCGTTGTCTGTGACACCACCCGCTACCATGCTAACCCCAAATCTGTAAGTTTAAAACATCTGCTGAAAAGAAACAAACGCTTAATGTGGCGCTGTGAACACCTCAGAAAACAAATGTGTGTTATTTAAATCTGTAACCTCTACAAGGTGTCCTCGTGAAATGAAAAGGCCCGAGGCTCACTACAAACAAGCTTTTTTAATTAAACCTTGTGAGCAGGTCTTTATTAAAACACTTGTCTCGGATGTGACACCTACTTAAAATCTCAACAGGATAAGCGGAGGCGATACAGCATGATGCGCTCCATTGAGTCGGCCAGCTCTGTGTTTTACCACTCTCAAGAGGAGGAGCCTGTGAAGACAGGTGTGGACAGCCAGGGGTTCTACAGAGAAGCTCCCTCTGGTCCTCTGTATGACTGCTACCAGGACTCTGTGACTGACAGCAGCCCTGCCGCCACAGAGCAAGACGCAGTGGGTAAGAACTGACGTTTAAGTCACCCAACATGTCTTCAATTTAGATTTTCATTCTTTTTTAAAGTGCAAACATGTGAACACGTTTTGAGGAAACAGTAGTTAAGCCAATGTTTGTTAGCCTAAAAAGAAAGTTGTGTGTTATTGGCTATTTGACCGATGGAGTTAGATAAACTTTGATGGTGGTTTGACATGGAAACTGCCTGTCAAGTTTATGATCCTTTTTTAACACAGATACAACAAAGATCTGGAGCCAGACTGTGGCCAAAATATTTCTATTTCTGCGTCCAGTCAGTAAATCAGCTGGTCGATCACTTTAGTCCTGACTAAAACATTTTGACAACTTTTTTGATGGATGAATTGTACAAAATGTGTTTTTTCAGGAGTTATGCTCCACTTAAATGTTCCCTGATTCTCGCCCAATGACAATTAGGATCGTCTAAAAACCCCAAATGGAATTGGAGTGATAGAACATTGATGGGTGGTTGTGTGTTGCCCTCTGGATAAATTATCACCAGTTTGATGATCCTTAAATTTGGTGGACGTGATCATATTACTGTAGCTTTTTCAGTGTGATCATGTTGATTGTATTTGGATCACCGTGCCTAGGAAAACTACTCGAAACGCTTTTCCACCGCAGGTCACACCTACCCATATAAGCTGCACGTATACAGTAAGTGCGGACGCAGGGTGGGAGCAACCTGGGGTTAAGTGTCTTGCCGAAGGACACATTGAACATGTGGCTGCTCAGAGAGGCTCACATTCCCATAGATCTTTTTGTATTGAGAATCTGTTGCACATGCCAACTAGCTAGTTTTGGATTTATTCCAAATTAAAATGAAGCTATGGGGGGTGCTGGTTTAGCTCAGATCGTTGCACTGGTCGTAGGTTCGACTCCCAATCCTGACAATGCTTGGTGCATGTCATCACCCTCTCACTCATTCCTGGCCCATTTCCTGTTCCTTTCCAAAGAAAGGCAAAAGCCCAAAAATTAAACAAAAAGAAAAGACAGATTATGAAACAGTTGTGTCTTTGCATGGCAGAGGATACTGGGTTAAACATTTTGAGTTAAACGATCAGAAATGATGTTCTGTTGAAACTGAGATAATTGTCGATTTGACCGTTTCTACCTTTGAACAAACATCAGGGTTCGATTGTAAGACATCTCCAAGAAGACGTGCATACAGCACCAACCAGATCATGGACTACAACCCGGCGAAGCGGGTCTTCACGCCCAGTGATCCCAGCGCTGTGGTGCCAAAGAACCCACTGAGGAGAGCCAAAGTCCAGGAGCTGATCGGGCAGATGAGCTCTGAGCACGAGGCGCAGTGGAGGAACGACTTCCAGGTGTGGTCCCACATTTGAACAGATATGATATTCACATGATTGCTTCTCCTCCTGCTGACCTGGTTTAGTTTGTAAATTGATCAGATGTTATTTCTGACTCCAAACCACAGCTTTTTAACTTTGTACTGGTACTCACTCAATAAATGAGAGTATATTATTCCAACAGAGGCCGGCTAATCTTGCTTTTTATTCTGATACAGTTTTTAAATATTGAAGAAATAGCAAAAAGTTATTTGTATTCAGACAGTGTTGACAAATGAAACATTAATCTGACCCGTGTGTGGACTGGAGGATAATGAAGAACACAATAATGTGCTCTTCTCAGTAATGAGGGGCAATATTTATGAATGGTAATGAGTTTGCATATTGCTCAGGGACCATCTGAGTATAACTAAACAGAGTCCAATGGGCTGTGAAGAATTTATATCTTCACTTTGCTCATTTACCAGCAGACCCATTACAGTCACGCCTTGATTAAATTCTGTCCAATAATTACCAGTAAAATTAATTACTTCTCTATTTATTTGTTTCTTTATTAAGTGGTACGTAGCAAAAGATATCAGAAAAATGTGTCCATCTCAGTGTCAACATGTTTATTTTGGCTATTGAGCTGGGCATTTTAACCATCGGCTATGTTAGGATTGACTTGGACTGTGTTCGAAAATCTCTTCCTTAGCACCAGGGGTGATCATGATTAAAGAAAACTTTGTTTTGCATGCAGCCACAGCTGGCCAGCCTGTGCGCTACATCCTCCAGCGGGCGTCCGGCCAGCTGTCACAGGACGCTCCCTCCACCGGAAGCCGACTCAGAGCTTCATTTCCAACCACAGCCTCAGGACAACGCCCTGCCCAGGGACGTCAGCGTGCCGCCTACAGCGAGACACACCGCCGGGGAAGACGGATCCAGATCATCTAGTGACAGCCCATCTGTTGGCAGCAGCGGAGATACTGGTGAGGCCACACAAAAAAACAACAAGTCTATTCAGTTAACTTAGATATCCATGATTTAAGTTGGATGAATGTCTGTTATATTTGTGAATATATCGACATGTGTGTTGTGAGTAGACATGAAATAAACCAAATAATCTACACAGTTTCTAAAAGTTTCTAAACATTTTAGAACTGGCATCAGTTTCAAAGTAGTAAAGGTTTTTGCAGAAGATTGCTCGTATATTATCACTGTTCCTATTAAGGAATGTCTGGGTTAAGGTACATCTGAATGATACTTAGCTTAGCTTGACAAGAAAAGGAATGGGAATAATTGCCAGAATGTCAAAATGCTCTCAGATATCAAAGAAAACTGCTTAAAAAAAAATCGCAGAAGCAGTTGATCTTAAAGCCGTTTAATTCCAGGCAAGACAAGCGTAAATATTTTTCAGTGGGATGAGAAATATTTATTTAAAAAGTGATTTAAAAAAACATCCGTCCCACATCTAAGATTAGTCATGGCAGATGATCGAAGAAGGAGGTGACACTTGGGGCGGACAGGAAATATTTTCTGCGTCTGAGAACAAAACAGACACTTAATGAGGCAATGAATAAGATACAAAAGAGGAAGCATTTTAGAAAAGTAAAATAGGACGTCCATTCAAACAGGGTGAACAAAGAGAGCCTTGAAAACCCAAATAGATTGAACACCATTGTCTCTTTTTCTTTTCTTTGCTTTCTGTGCTGTTGTTGTATTTTTTTTTTTTTAATGGAAGGCACTTTGAGAACGTTTTTCTTTTCAATGGATATGAATAACAAATTAAAATGTCAATACAGGAATTAAAGCGCTCTTCTTCTTGTGATATTTCAGATGGTTATGGACACCAGTTATGTCAGGCAGAAACTCCTCAGGAGACCCACAAGTCAGACCTGGGCGCAGCCAACCAGCACAGAGGTTACTGCAAGGCTGTGGTGTCGGGACTGCTGTGTGGGAAAGCAGCCAAGTGGGAGGTCGCATTTGATATCGAGCCCTTCCTGAACGGCCGGGAACGTGAGGAAAAGGTTCACGAGGAGCTTTGGAACGAGACCTTCCACCATCTGGCTGGACGATCCATCATACAGGACTTTGAGCATATGGCGGATAAGGAGTGTGAGATCGAGCACGGTGAGATCTGCGGGGATTTAAAGGATGATTATATTCATATGACATATATTCTGAAAGCAGGAGTAGGCTTTCGTCTGACATTTTAAATTTTTCTGTCTAGCTTTATTGTCTCTATAAAAAGTACTTTAAATTGAGTTGAAGTTTTACAGAATAAATCTCTTATGAGGAGTTTTTAGCTGGATAGGAAACTGACTGAAATTAAAAGTAATTTCTTTAAGAGCTACAGAATTAAACAAGTCTATAAGCAAACAGTATGACTCATCTTGTAGGTGAATTGAAATTTCACAAGCCACTGCCGAAAATAGGTGTCATATGGGGACATTTATTCCCAAGATCCGTGATAAATGATACGTTTGACAGATAAATAAGCAGGATGAGGTTTTTTTTTCTAAATAGACACTGCGTCCACATGAACAGGACAAACTCAGCAAAGAGCTAAGAGGTACCACTTTGTCCACAGGGTGCACTAAACTTGAAATGAGTATTTCAACATGTTTTCTTATGTTTCAACACTGATTTGCTTTCTTGTCAATTGATAGGAGTTGCCAATTTGTGTATTTGTAAAAAAAAATGACTTTATATAAAGATGGACGTGTCTTCACCTCTTCCAGTTTTTCAAAAAGTGAAGCCAAAATGCCTCACATACAAGCGCTGTCATATAGTGCTGTTGGTGACATTTAGAGCCAAAGTTTGACAGTTTGACTCTGTCGCAGTTTTGACGTCCTAAAACACATTTGGACATCCCAGTAGCGCCCCTTCCGCTAACCAAAAAAACATTTAACTTTCCAATCAAACAGCAAGGAAACAATTGGAGTCAACAGCAGAACAGTTTGAAGCAGAATTTGAATTTGAATGAGTCTTGTGTTAGTGTTTGTTGCATTCTTGCTGTTCCTCCTCTACTCTACGAATCCGGTGCAGACCATAGACTATATGAAAACAATTTTAGTGACCAGAGTCCCCCATTGGTTTCTGAAGAGGTTTTTTGAAGCTAGTAACAGGCAAAGAGTTGAAGTTGAGCCTTCTGGCGAAAAGCAGCAACGCAGCCATCAGTCAGTCATATATGCCACACCCCTAATTATGCAAATATATGCCCAACTCTCCTAAATATCATCAAAACAGATGAGGTAATAAAAATAATTTAGAGTTTGGTCCATGTCCCATCTGTTAACATGGAGGCGGCAGGGTTTGAATCTTGTACTGCAGCCTGGCAGGAAGGGAAGCACAAAAAGTTTTGGCTTCACTTTGAGGGAGCTGTTGTGTCATCCTTTTTTATGCGCTGTCAGTGATTTGAAATAATATCCAGGGGAGAGTTAGCTTTAACTTAGCATGGTTTTCAATACAATGTGATGCATTATTATGTAATCCTGCATAATTAATTACTGCTATGTAATTACTGTACGGTTGTTATATTTCACAGGCTCTGGCAGGAAGTACCAGCTGTACGCCATTCACACCAGCAAGTCCTGCAACATACTGAGCAAATACACGGCGCTTATTCCCATCGACCTGGACACTAATGAGTATTTGCAGTCATGTATTGAGTACATGAATTCCAGTAAGTCTAAAGAATTGTTGAACTCACTGAGCACCCATTGTTCTCTCCACATGTGTAAACAAAACAACAAAACTGTGTCGCCATACATGACTTGGAGTTATGTTTAGTCCATGAAAATAATGCTACAGTATGTCTCTAAAATCTTATTCTAAGTATTATTTGACATTTGAGTAATATGCTTGTTTTCTTTCTTTCCAAATTAGTTGAGAAGATTGATAGCCATCTTATCCCTCTTGTTTAATCTTATGCTTCAAGAGGTGTGAGTTACAGTTAGCCTAGCTTAGCATCAAGACTGAAAACAGTTATGGCCTTGTTCAGAAAAAGGGGAAAAGGCTGCTAGTTGTGTTTTTATTTTAGGCTATTTATTAAGCTGAAACAATAAATTTGTTGATTGGTAGAATGTCAGGACAAATGTCTGTGACAGTGTTGAAAACAGATCACTCCTTCTGTTGATCTAATCGGGCCAAAAGGAAAAAAAGGAATATATTCTCTGTCTCTTTTGTGTCTGTGTATCATCAGATTTTTCAGTGTCCAACAAGTGTCCTCTTTTTTTCACATTTTATAGACTTGACTATGAGTAACAAAATACTGAATAGACTTTTTGACATTGAAAATAATCTTTAGCTTTCTCCCTATAAGCACATATTTACTAATCTACCTTTTCTATTTAAAACAGCTATCTTAAGTGATAGCAAGAGTTTGTGGTTTTACATGGTTTTGGGGTTATGTGCTGGGATTTACTGGTGATCAATTACATCCTCGAGTTGTGTTATCACTTTAAGGTTACCAGGCAACCACTGAAATCCTCCAGAAATGGACGCTACTGCTTGAGCAAAGAAAGAAAATCAACATATATCTAAAAAAACAGAAGAGAGATTCATCCTTTTGTCAACATTCAGGGGTTTAACCTTTCGATTTTTCTTTAAACGTTATAAGCTAAAACATGAAAAGTCAAAACACAGACCAGCCTCGAGCCAACATTAGATTACTTTCAAATTGTGCAGACTGGGTACAAGACAGCAAAGCAGTTCTTATCTCTGCCTTCTGAAAATACGATTTGATGTTGTTTTCAGGCGAGCGTCTGAAGAGGGGCTCACACTCCAGCTCTCGCTCGGGGAGCAGGAAGAACAGAGGATACTCCATCGGACTGGGTCGCTCTCAGTCGGGCGGCATGTCTGAGGAAGTTGAGGATGCTCTCCTGACCAACAGTAGGCTGCATTTAATACACATAGCTTTCGTCAATCCCAACTTTAATATCTCGATCAACAAATGCAACTGGAAGAAATGCAAGAGTGAAAAGTAGGAGAGAGTGAAAACAGAGTAAAAAGGAAACATCTTCTTAGAGGAGATGGTGATGCTGGATTTATTTTTTTATGTGTTGATATTTATTCAAAACCGACTTGATTTGAATTAGAAAGGCTGCGGCGTAGCTTTTCAAAACACTGTGAGGTTTTGAGAGGGAGCACTCAGACAGATGCGAGCTGCTCTACATTAGAAATCCTTCAACTTTAGAAAAATGGGCACAACATTTGAAATTGGTTTTTCGGGGGTGGCATGGCAACCACAGGGTTAAGATAAAGCTGGTTTATAAGCATCTCCATAGAAAACAGCGGCACAATGGTCACAGATGGAGATGAGTATTTCCTTTGATGCTGTCTTAAAAAAAAAAAGTTCTGATGGTTGAAAGTTTTTTTTTAAAACTAAACACAGACAGTTTATTCCAATCTCGCTTGCTTTCTATTTTTTCCCCACAATTTATGTTACTGTTACGCACAAAAACACCATGAAAAATTCCTGGTATGCGTAATTTTTTTGGGGCAATCAACCCAGATTCTTCTTCTTCTGATCATGATTTCTTCTCTAGACGGAGAGGATGTTGCGTCTCCATGCAGCACCCCGCCCTCCTCCAGCTGGGAGAGATGCAGCTTGACAGATTGTAAGTAAATGCAACACATAAAACTGTCATTAATTTGGCTTTACTTATCCATTTTCAAACACACAAGTACCTTTGACGTACACTCTTTTTGTGCTCGATCCATTTTGTCTTTTCCAAATGTGCAACAGGAGATAATTAACATTTCAGTCCATCTTCTCGTAAGTGATGGCGGACGTCGAAACAGTTTTTTTGGCTTGTGTTGACAAAAGCTGTCTGGACCTTAGAATTAAAAAATATATAGCGAGCATGGACTGAAGGCACACGCACACACAGAAACACACAAGAGAAAAGTTGTTTCATGTGCAGAGGGAAAAGATTGCCACTGGAGTATATGACCACTGCGTCTTTAGTTCATCTCAGTGGGTGTGTTTTACCTCTTTATGATCTGAGACTCATGTAGAGAACTAAATAGAAAATTGTCAGAAAATGCCGCTGCTTTCCTCTCTCTCGCCCCTTCCCTTGTGTAACTCTGCGTCTCTCTCCGCATGTCTCTCTCGAAGTCTCTCAAAGGAGCCCGTCTGTGTCCTCTGACCAATCTCAGAAAACAGTGGAGAGCCTTTTTTCCGCCAGGTGGGTGTCTGGAGACCGTCTGGCTCCGTAAGTGGGCTCTAGCTGCGTTACCTGCCATTGTATTAGCAAACACGAGGACCTTAGCCTTAATAATGAAATGTTTACCTGCTGCTTTAAGGGACGAGGATATTTAAATCACCTTCATCTTTATTGAATTGTCTTCGCTGATTTTTTTAAAGGGTCTGCTGTCTTGAAGTCAACATATCAATGCAGTACAGAACTATCTCCTAAGCACTCACAGGCATAAAAAAGGTACATTGGAACTAATTTTCCTTTCTAAATCAAGACTTTCAGACTCAATGAGGCCGTTCTTGGGACGTGGGAGAAAACGACATTAAAAGAAAGGAAGCAAGATCCATTATGTATGGGGATAATGGCACCCATACTGTATGTATCTCCTTCATGGAGGGCATCACAGTGTGCACTCAGAGTTTTATTAATAGCGACATTAATGAAAAGAAAGAGAGCTGAGAGAGGGAAGTTCAAACTTTGCGTACTTTCTCAGCTTTTCGCAATGAACAGAAAAATCTTCATATTCACACTGTGACCATTTCCTTCTGAAGTTAGCTCGTCGTGGGAGAGCTCAGATGAAGTTATCAAGGCATACGTTACTCTGTTGAAAATCCTTTTCTCTTTATTAAAAACAGCTTCTAGATTTCAGTAATAATGTGTTTCTGTGTTCATGCTGGTCTCTCCTCTCGTCTGTCTGAGAGCACTCAATGCATGATGGTATATATTGATTGGATAGGGACCATCGATTCTACACAATTCTTCACCATGCATTGTGGGATACGATGAGCAATATATAGTGAATACTGTAGTTAGTGATTTCGGACACAGCCATAGTTAATGTCTAAAATCCACTTAGCCAGATCGATGTCAGTGTTAAAAAAAAAAAATCTTTTCAAGATTTAAGGGCTTAGGTTTGAAGGAGTTAATGGAATATGAGCCTCAGGTGGCTCATTTCAGCATATTGACCCAGACAAACATACATTGAACACTGGACACAAGAAAGAACAGAAACCCCTTTGAAAGGTCTTTTTAATGATTCATGTGGCCGACTGGAAATTGTGAAAGGAACATAAGACCCTGCAAACAAAGATACACTCCCATGTTAGTGCAGTGAGTTAGCATGCTAATAGCAATAAACAAAAGTATCGTTTAGACTGATGAAAATGTCACTAGTTCTGTAAGTTATTGGTCATAAAAGAATACTGGCGTCCAAAGTTGTTACTCTTAAATTCCTTGAGGGATTTTTTCATCAAATGCCATGCAATATGTCCAGAAGTGGTCGGGGCGCGCAAAAATCTAATGTCCAAACTCTGAGGGGAGGGAGAGGGTTACCAAAATAATCAACCTTCATCCTCTGAGCAGAGGAGCTGTTTGTCAACAAGCATGGCAGGCACTGCTTGGGGCCCCAGACGAGTAAAGGGGCACCTGAGGCTCACAAACTTAAACCAAAAGCAGTGGCTCAAAGGTGCAAATTTTGCAACACACCTCCTGAGGGGCCCCACCTGACAGCACTCACTCTCGTTGCCCGCTAAGCGTTGCTGCGATAACCAAAGTGTGTGAATAAAAGTAAACAAAGAAAAATGAAGAGGAATAATCTGTCTATAGGAGAGAAAAAAAATCAGGACACTGGCAGACAACATGATGATGAACGCTGGTTGGAGGCCCCCCAATTGATGCTATAGGGCCCACCAGAATCACCACTGCCTCTGGGTACATGTATGTCTCAACCATACAGTATGTAGTGACAATGTACTCAGTATTTGTTGCTTAGATATTTCTTAAATGAATTGTGAGATGTGTTGTGATTTAGTAGAGATTGCTTTCACGATCCCTGTAGAGAAGCAGCAAACGCAGTAGCTGTGTTTGCTTCACACACGATACTCTGTAATCCATCGCTTTTCCCTCCGCTCTGTAAGGTTGGCCCTCAGCAGACTCGTCTCTGACCGGGCTGCCAAAGGATTCATGTGTCGATCTCACAGCAAGTCGGCGATTCAATCGGAGAGAGTGACAACGAGAAAAAGAACATTCTCTGGTGGGTAGCAGACATTTACTGCAGGTGCTTTTTACTGGAGACTTTTTTCAGCTGGGTGAAGATTTGTCTGAAGAACGAGAGCGTTGTTACAGCCTGTTGAGACTGTTGGTTAAGCAATCAGCTGTTCAAAGCTGTGAAGAACAGTGAAGAAGAATACAGCATGAACGCAGTCTACATCCTATTCTCTTTCTCTCTTTCTTTTCTCTGTCTCTCTTTCTTTCTCTATTT